AAAGTGTATTTTAAAGTATTACCTTGTAGTTCGCCTTGTGCAAGTGTAGTGCAAATTTGAAAAGAAAAGCTGAAAAACATTGATAATTAGCTTCCTAAATGAATTTTTGATTTAAATATAACACTTGTTGTGAAGTTACTGAATATAATTATTGTGTATATTTTGCCAACATATTATCTAATGATTTTACTTTACAATATGGACTTCAAAAACGGTTTACCAAGTGTAATTTGTAGATGGATTCATTCTGCATCCTCTTTTATCAGGATTAATATTATTAATATCATCGAATGGTTTCAATTCTGTTGTCAAATCAATGATAGGTCTTGTTCTCAACAGAACTAGCGCATCTGAATCATAAGCGCCAACTAGTAGATCTGGATAACCATTGTTGTCCAAATCAAGTCCGCCAGAAAGTGAATATCCAAAAGTTTTATTCCTTTTAATGAGCCAGTATGAGAATGGATTACCTATATAAGTATAAAGAAGAATCACCTAGGTCATAATAACTAGCCATTATGCGACAGTGAAGTCAATACACGTTATACAATTTTATTACCTGCGAGGGAGAGTCTTGCAATCCATCTTTAGACCCCAAGAAAATATAAACCGCTCCACCAGGACCATCTTCAGGAGCACCCACTGCTATATCTTCATAACCATCTTTGTTCAAATCGCCCAAACAAGCCAATGCTATCCCAAATCGACTTTCTGGTCTAGGACCTAAAAGACGCTTAAAGTATGTTTCTGACACTCCTTCTTCTCCATTCAAATATATATATACAGCTCCACCATTGTTTTGTTCGAAATAATATGGAGCACCTACTATTAAATCGTCTCTTCTGCAAATAGCATTAGTATAAAGAATTTGGGCTGTATAGCATGCAGCAAACATTTTTTTGATAAATATATAATTTATAATTTATCATTATATAAATGTGTATAATGGTTGACACTTATAAATGTGTGCATCACGAGTATTACCATATTATGTACTAGTAAACATTATTCAAAATTGATATAAGATGTATTTATTTTTACTTAAATGGCATCTACAGTATAGTAGCAAATAAGTTTTACTTCAATTGCGTGTGAACCTTGCGCGTACTCTTTTTTAAATAGTTAGCGATAATTTTATCTCAAATTAATTTTCAAACTAAAGTTTTTAATTTAGTAATGTACTGGTTCCAATGTGAATTTTGTTCCGGGTTGAATAAGAACTATTCTAAGTATGTTTAAAATGGATAACAGTTGAAAGTTAACTGAAAGCTTGTTTATAAATTTATATTGTATTATATTATATACAAAACTTACAATAATTTTTAAAAAAATGTCTATATGAGAAAATAAACAAAGTTAGTCATAAAATTAAATGAGGCTACAAGTTTTTATCAATGCAATAATGCAAATATAGATAACGCGCTTCAATACGTGGAATATAATTTATCGCTTATTTCTTAGAATTATATTCATTTTTATCGACATATAACAAACTAGTTGGTTTGGTATTTAGCCTTGAGGCAAGTTACATGAACTTCCCGAAATGTGTAAATAATCGACTTAATAAAAAAAATGTGTAAATAATATACTTCATATTTCCTACTTTAAAAAAAAACGATAATAATTTTAGCAAACTTTGACGAATTTTTAAAATTAAACTACTTGTCGTTAGGGCGTAATATTACAGTAAGTTCTATAAGACCATGATGTATATCGCCAAAAAAATTTACATGAAAATCGGCTTAAATTTTTTTTTCAACAGTTAATTACAAGAAAACGGCTCGGTAGATTTTCACCTAAAATTAATCAGTACCATTCCCAACTAATATCTTTCGAACAGTTTTTGATATTTTGAAATAGGTTCGGTATGATGACCTTAAATGTTGACGAAAATTTAACACTTTTTTTCAACAGTTAATTACAAGAAAACGGCTCGGTAGATTTTCACCTAAAATTAATCAGTACCATTCCCAACTAATATCTTTCGAACAGTTTTTGATATTTTAAAATCGGTTCGGTAGGATGAGCTTAAATGTCGACGAAAATTTAACACTTTTTTTCAACAGTTAATTACAAGAAAACGGCTCGGTAGATTTTCACCTAAAATTAATCAGTATCATTCCCAACTAATATCTTTCGAACAGTTTTTGATATTTAAAATCGGTTCGGTAGGATGAGCTTAAATGTCGACGAAAATTTAACACTTTTTTTCAACAGTTAATTACAAGAAAACGGCTCGGTAGATTTTCACCTAAAATTAATCAGTACCATTCCCAACTAATATCTTTCGAACAGTTTTTGATTTTTTAAAATCGGTTCGGTAGGATGAGCTTAAATGTCGACGAAAATTTAACACTTTTTTTCAACAGTTAATTACAAGAAAACGGCTCGGTAGATTTTCACCTAAAATTAATCAGTACCATTCCCAACTAATATCTTTCGAACAGTTTTTGATTTTTTAAAATCGTTCGGTAGGATGAGCTTAAATGTGGACGAAAAGTTTTTTTCAAATTACAAAGAAACGGCTTGGCAGATCGTTGCACAAAACTGACAAACGATAGTCCTCACCGAAATACATCAAATGGCTTTTAAATTTCTAAAATCGGTTCAGGCGTTTTTGAGAAAACGTCGATCAAAAGTCTAATTTTGACAAATGCCAAAAAGACCATACTGATTTATGCAAACTTTGACGAATTTTTAAAGCTGAACCAGTTGTCGTAGGGCCGTAATATTTTAGTATGATCTAGAAGACTATGGTATCTATCGTCAAAAAATAATCATAAAAATCGTCGAATTTTTTTTTTTTAAAACTTTATTACAAGAAAACGGCCCGGCCGATCTCTACCAAAAACTAATCAGCACGATTCCCAACCAATATCTTTCGAACGGTTTTTGAATTTTCAAAATCGATTCAGAATTGCGGGCTAAAACGTAGACGAAAAATTTTTCACTTTTCTACCATTTATAAAGAAACGGCTTGGCCGATCGTCGCACAAAACTGACAAACAATAGTTCTCGTCGAGATACATCGAATGGCTTTTAAATTTTTGAAATCGACCCAGCCGTTTTCGAGAAAACGTCGATTTACGGCAAAAAATCTGTTCACATACACACACACACACACACACACACACACACACATACTTTTTCCAAATTTGGTCTCATTCGATTCAGAATGGCTTGAAACGTCGAGAAAACATAAAATTAGCGAATCGGGTTTTTTGATGAAAACATAAACTTCTCCTTCGGGAAGTTAAAAAGATAATTCAGTAAATCGATAAATGCATAAGATTATTTATTATTATCACTGTAATATTATGCAACTAATAAAATAAAATAACGTACGTTAGAAAATGAATTGTCGAAAAAGTCGAGAAAGAATTCCAATTCTTATCACTATAAGCAAAGTAATGTTGTCTAGTAGATTATTTCAGATAATATTGAAACAACATTTTTATTGCAAGTATTAAATTTAATCAGTTGCAATAATAATAAAATATTGTGTTAAAAATATGTCTTGTTATATATGTGCGATATAATAAAGAGCAAGCTTGTGAACAATGTTTTGCAATATCAATACGTGACTTGTATTGGTAATAAATAAAAGAAGTTTCGCATTATAGAGCTTTCAAACTTACTTATCGCCATTGACATCTGCTCTGATTATCTCATGACCAAAGCCAGAACCAAATTGTTCTCCGTATAAAATCATTTTAACTTCCAGAGTTCTTGAAGGAATATTACTTTCAACTGCAATCAGGATGCTTCCATAATTATTATCACGGGGCGCGCCTATGGCAATTGATGGTACGTTCAAAAAATTTCCTCCAACGACAGACATCCCTTTAACAGATAAAATAATAAACAATTATTAATTGTTAATGCGAAACTGATACATTAATATTGTATAAGTCGGTGGCCATCAGAACCAACTTTGTTTGAATATTTTTTTTTATGAAAAGTGTAATAATTTTTCTCTAGTTTAATCTTTGGGCTTAGCATATGAAGAGTTTTCACAAATACATAATTAATAATTCTCATAATATAAATATCATTTAATTCATTAATTAATTACCTCTGTATCCATATTCTTTCTCATTTCCCAGTTGTTCTACTTTGGTCTCCCAAGTTTCAGAGACTAAAAGACATATGTTTGCATCAAAATAAATATTAAATACCCAAAAATAAGTATGTAGTTACAAAATATTTATCTATACAAATTTTAATTAATTTGTATAAATTAGATATAATTTTAAATCATTAACTATTATTGAAATAAATTTGTTATTTTTTTGATATTTCAAATGTATTACTCACAAAAATCGTTTGTAGGTTTTAATACAAAAACCATGCCCGTCCATGTATAGGCTCCGGGGGCACCAATTAATAATGAATTGTTATAAAAGGAAGTACTTATTCCGGCTTGGCATAATCCATACTGTAGATGACCTCTGTAACCACAAAAAAGTTTTAAAAAAATTTCGAGAACTTGTTCAATGATCATATAATAGATCTATCTAGATCCGTTCCCAAAATATTTTTTTTCAAAAGTTTTTAATGATCGCAGTGGAATTGGTTCAGCGTCTTAACCTTTTTTGTAATATCGGTATTAGTGGTAATTAATTCTCTTTTTCATAGTTAATATTATTAATATCATCTAATAGTTTTCAATTCATTGCCATATCAATGATAAGCCTTATTTTCAATAGAAATAGAGGATCTGAATCTTGAAATTCTCATTGAATCGATTTAAAGAAAGAGAACAATATCTGAGATTATCTTGGAATGAAGTTTTAAAGATAATAATGTAGACGACTTTATATTCCATTAGGAAAAACTGTACATAAAGAGTTTGTGAACTGATCAATTTTTTCCTGAGATGTTATGATGGTTTTTAAGTAATTCTAGGACGCGAATTTCGAAAAAAGTTACAGAACTTTACTAACAGCTCTAGTTTTCGAGATATACTGTGCTAGTTTTATGAGCTCTAGTTTTCCAGATATACTGTGCTCTAGTTTTATCTCAAAATACAATGAATAATAACACATATTTTATTTTATGCCTTCAAACTTCTTTTTATATAATTTTTGAGTATGGACAGAGTCTCACTGATTTTGTCAAGTTTCAACAATAGAGAATACTTCAAGACCACTGAGTTCATGGGATATGGTCATTAGCTTCTATTGCCTGAATAATGAATTTATTCCATTGATATTTACTACACAGAAGAAACAGTCGTCGTGGTGATAAAATGTCTGTTTTTTTCTAAATTACGGTGGTAATAAAATTATAGCATTTTTTCTTCCTTCTGAACTGTAATTATGTGTTACGTTGTTATAAAATATATTAAAACTCTCTTTCGATACTCATTATCAGGTTGTTGGGTTATAATTTAACCCTTGTAGCTGTGGACTGTATTAAACACTGATTTGTTTGTATATTATGTATTTGTTGCAGTTCTTATTACAATCACTGATTTGTCACTAAGTTCTAAGTGAAGAAGATATATTTTTTTATTATTTAATATTTATTATACATGTTGTTAAGCGGACTTTACTTTTAGAAGTGAACAACTAGTTTAATTAAAACACTCCGCTACCCTCTCTACCAGAGGTAGCAACCATTCCGTGTAAATTTTAATGCCCTGAAGGTTGTCACCTTTCGCCGAAATGACTGATGGGGGTAGTTCTACAAAACTAAGAAACAGAAGCTGTTACAAAAAAAACAGGACGCATATTAAACACACGATAAAAACAAAAGTGCTATGATTGTCACGCAGTGTTATCAAAGCTTTCCTCCATTGCATGGATATGTTACAGAAAAACTTATTTTCTGGCAAACTAAAACAATTTAGTTTTGCCAATCAATACTGAAACAGTTTCATTATACAAAATAGAGGACCGAGGAGAAAAATAAAATATAAAAAATAAATGATCCACAAATAATGGTATTAAATAAATATAACGATGGCGAGGTAATATGCGCCGCGGAAACACACATCCATTCATGAGTTTTCAAAGCCACAAGAAAAATGCATAATCGTTAGAGAGTATAAAAAAATAATGAACATAGGAAGATTCTGGAAACGCCGACATTAAATAAAATGTAATAATTACCTGACGTGTGGTTTGCCTTTACATGGTTCAAATTGTTCCGGTACTCCCAAGTCTTGGTCGAAAACGAAGCATAGACCTTTCCCAATAACGACATTATCGTTTATTACCTCTGCGTAGCGATGGGCACAAACTGCCGCTTGTCCTCCAGTAAAATCTGTACTAGCCGAACTTACACTAACTCCCAACCATTGTCCTGTTTTGATTTGATCCTCAGACTTTGTAGTACCTAGAATCATTTAGAACATGTGTGGAAATGTATTTATTTATTTATGCCAGCCTATGAGCAATACTATGCAAAGGAAGTATATAGATTTTTAAAAGAATCGTAAATGAGAATGAAAATAATGTCTGTAAAAACCAGTATTTATTAATACAGTTTCAATTTCAACTTCAATGAGTACGTAGAACGTCGATCAGTATAAGATAAAAAAATATAAAATGTGTGCCTAAATGCTTCATAGAAGCCAATTTGTACAATATTTAATTAATAAATGGCCCTTGGCTTTTTGAAAAATAAAATATATAGGCCAACAATATAATGTATTGGATTATTACGATCCATCAAGCCTACCAAAAAATTGTTTGGTGCATCAAATGTTAGAGCTGATTCTTATAGTATTTTTTGCGCTGATTTCAAATCTGCTAATCATTTTTTTTGTATCAGCTCTAGTTTTGAACTTGGAAAGAAGTTGCCCCGACCATGTCCATTGTAGGTCGTCGCGGAAAAGAACTTTTCACAGTGTCAACTAATGTCCCAACTAAGGCCGAATGGGTCTTATAAGTTTGTATGTACGAGTAGGCATATCTCGTTAAAATAAAATTCTGAATTGTATTACTATTTTGTACTTTCATTCCTTATATATCATATATATTATATCTTGAAAACTAAAGCTCATAGAACAAAAACAATGTCATTTTTGAAATCAGCGCCCCAAATTTACTTAAAAACAGCATTAAAATCGTTTGCACCATTTTCTTTGTTGGCCTGTGTTATTTATGCCTTCAAAGCATAATTTTGTTATCTAAGTCATTTGACTGTTTCTTTCTCCTGCAATAACTATAATTTGTATAGTGTTTTTAACTTGTTATCTTGGAAATAGGTAATAAAATGAATTTTTTCAGACTTTTTTACGTGTAATAAATAAATTGTAAAAAATACATTATTATTTTCTACTAACCATCAGTCATTACTTGCACACAGTCATCCTTGTATGGCGTAAGGGGGCATTTGAAAAAGGCTCCTGATCTATTCGAACCAGGTTGCAAGTTTTGTCCCAATGGAGCACCAACCAAAAGCCTTTTGAAATATAAGTTTACAGAGTTTGTTTTTTTTTCTTAAGAAAAACTATGTTAAGAATATTTATTATTAAACTTATCTTGCGACAGAAATTGAGATTATTAAATATACATATTATTGTTGTACGAAAAATGCTGGCAATTAGCTTATTGGTAGTCTATAATTATTATTTTTTTATTTTTTCTTTTTATTTTTTTTTTCTTTCTATTTTTTTCTGTTTTTTATATTCATTTTTTTAATTTTTTAAAAATTAAAAATATATAAATTAAAAATTAGATTCATTCATTGCAAACTTGTATTCCAATTAGAGCCCAATTGGAGAGCAATTTGCTAGCAATGACCATTATTTAAATCTATATCTGAAATTTCTATTCTTCAGATTTTTCTTCAAAACATTCTACGGGACTTTTGTAAACATTTCTGTCTTTTATTTTTATCGACGAGTTTGTCGAACAAATATACTTATACAGATGATGAAATTTAGCAAATTTTGATATCATGAAACATTTTATGTTTTAATCTTAAGTTTTGCCTTTGTTTAAGCAGGACTAACAAAGATAATACTTTTTACGAAATTGAAAGACAAGCAAACTCACTACGTGATAAATTATATTAATCAATTAAATAAATAAAGTGATATAATATGTATAATAAAAGTATACTGCACTAATGTAATATTTTCTAAATATCGACTATTTAAGTTTATTCAGATATTTAATTTCACAAATTAATTTGTGTCTGCAAGCTTCAATATATCGTATATTAACTTCTATTGTTCATATATAAAATGAAATTCTACCTTTTCCAACTAGTTTTCTGTTACATAATTTAATTTTATCCATTATCGTTTTAACTTTGCAAAATCATTAATTATTACACTTGTGTTTCATTAAAATTTTGTAAATTTATAAAGAATAATAATTCACATTTAGTTTATTATTTTAACTCAATCATAATTTAAGTTTACATCTATTTTTGGTAACGCGTCTCGAAGAAAAGTTTATAATAGCGTTAAATAAATAAATAATTTGCGTATATGCTCATTCTCAAAATCGGATGTCTTTATTTATGCAAATCTAAAGAAATCTTTGGGTTTTACCATGATGATTTCATAAAACAAACTAATCTTTAACCAACATTGCTAATAATAATAAATAAATAAAGTCGCCAAGATAATATATATATGTTATCTGTTTTGTGAAAAGTGAGTAACCGAAATATAAAAAATGATTACATTTTGTGACAATGTTTTTGTCTTTATTTAATTTTTTTTATTGAATGATAATACACATCGAATGTTGAATTATAATAATGTTGATTTCATTTGAAGTTGAAAAAAGTTTACAAATTTTAAATATATATCAGAATAAACTTCTCCACTAAAGACATAGTTAAGCCTTGAATATTTGAATATATATATGACTAACAAGTCTAAATTGAATTATTGATAATATTTATTTATCATTTCACGTTATCATAAAATGATACCTTGTATCTATTATAGTAGGTAAAACCGTGAATTTATATTTAGAATACGTTAAAAATTTTGATTCATTTTCCATCTAAAAAAATGATTATTTTAATACAGTCGAAGAAAATATTTTTGCAATATTTCGCAAAAAGTAAAATAAATAGTAAAATATTTACATGGGGAAATTGGGTACATAATATATCGTATGGCCACAATTCATAAAATATAATCTGAATAAATTGTTTGATAGTTTTGAATAAACGGAATATATAAAATATAATATCTGGGGAATATAAAACTAGTTAAAAATCATTACTGTTTACCGCTTTTAAATAATTAAATAAAAATGATAATGGCATTAAATATATATATATATATATATATATATATATATATTATTATTATTATTATTAATTCTTTACCATGATGTAACTTGATCCCCTTTAAATTCTTTGTGCTGGGCAACAGAAAATCCGAAGTAACTTTTGTTCTCGCCTCGTTTTATCAAAGGTATTTTATCATCTAAATTAAAACTACACACTAAATTTAACACTATAGTAAACAATATAAAGTTTTTAACAAAAACACTAAAATTGATCGAAGAATTACACATTTTCACTTGTGAGAACATACATCGCTTCACATCATAAAAACATTTAACTGAAAACTTCTTAAAATTGAAGCTCTTAAAGTTCTGTTTATATTTTGTTGTTTTAATGGAACTCTTTGATATTATACGGCGTTTTCTTTTAATTTATTTATATAATTGCGTATGATCATTATTTACACGTTGAATTAATATTTGAGGTCAATTAACCGATCGAAGTAATCAATCGAATATATAAGACACAAAATAAATATTGCAAACACTACACTACAATTTATAAAATTCATATAATATTCATAACACTAATTATATATTTAACTATTTTCTAATTAGACCATTCACTTATTTGTCGTTACCATATATTTTTAACACAATACATATATTTAGTTTTATATTTTTTTGTTTAGAATTACATCGTTTAGAGAATTTGTGAAATTAATTTATTCATTTCTGACATACTTTATATAAGAAAAAAAGTAATACTGATTTGAAAAAGTAATACACGTTTACATGGCAAATCTTTCATACTTTGAACATTTGTTAATATTTACTATCAGTAACTGTAATCAGAAAGATAAGAGGTAGTATTTGATGCAATAAGGTATATGCGAACTGTATGAAACATTTTGCTGTTTATTTGATTGTTCTCTTAGTAACTATAAATCTAGTAATTTAATTAAATAGTAATTATTTAGATCCTTATGCACTTGATAAAACACACAAAATAAAATAACACAAAAACCACACACAATGATCGATGCTTTATAAAGTCAATATATTGAGTAATACTATTACCCAATACCTTTTATTTACATATAAAATTGAGTACATTTATTTATGATTCATAATATCAATTTATTTTTTAGTGAGTACCAAAGATACACAGTTGGGATATTTATTCATTTGTTGATTTTAAGTTTTCATATCTTGTATTTCGATGAAAATTAGTACTTTGAATTTAAATTTGTATTACTTATAAAAATGATCGACAAAAACTAACAAATCAACTTAAATAATATCAACAAATGTACTTTATTTTCCAATCCCAGATTAACTTGATTTATTGACTGTTTTACTTGAACTTTTATACAAAACTTATGCATAGATAAGTGTTATAAATGAGACTATTCTTCTAATAGAATTAAATGTTTTGAAATGAACAAAATTTAAAAACATTTACGGAAAAAACGTGACGATAACGGCTGATCAACACTTTTTGTACCATTGTTATACAATTCCTTATCTAATAAATTAAATATTAATTAAAAAAAAATATTTATTTCCAATTTAATTTTTTTTTTTACTTTTCATACTAAGTTCCAATCTTTTCAATAAAACCATAATTCAGGTTTGTTGTTATTAATAAATATTTTACTCATAACTTACATTTTTAAAACTATTCCATCACATGTGGCTGATAGCAAAATTTAAATACCGTTTCTTCTATAACTCAAAATTAAATTCACATAAATTAAAATCACATGGAACTGCCCCATTAAACGACATTAAACAAAACTCTAAAATAAAACAAAACCTATAAAATCTTTTTATTTACTATTAGCAAATTATTTACCAGTCAGTTCACCAAGAACCCTGAATTGAACTTATGTAACATTTCCAAATTCAAAACATAAAACTGGAAAAAATTTCATAACTGTAATATTCTACCTTCTTACCATGTTAGCTAGATTTAATTGAAATTTCACATATATATCACATATAAATAAAATAAAATATTTTATTTTGCATTTTGTATTTTATTTAATAAAAATACAAAGATCAAGAGAAGAGTACTGCAAGATCACTTTATAGAATAAATACATAGCAACATGTCATTTTTATATATAAAAATGAGTAAAGTAATACAAATAACAATAATTAAAAATTAAATGCAAGTTGGATATTACGCCAGCATAAGCTTAGTTATTTTCATGTAATGTTTATAATAAATATGTATTAGATTGCTGGTCAAATTAATAGTATTATTGTTTATCCCCCTCTGCTTTTTTCTTGTTTTTAGCACTTTGTTCCAATTCTATTGGTGGTGGTTTCACAAATGGTATTTCATTTTGATATACTTCAGGCATATATTTCCGAAGTACTTCTGGAACCTGTGTGGGTTTTTTTCAAAAATGAAATAATTAACTATTTACTTGATTACTGTAGCAAATTAAAGGATGTATTACCTTGATACCAGTTTCAGTTTGATGCGTTTCCAAAATTGCACATATCACACGTGTTGTTGCACACATTGTTGCATTTAACATGTGGACATAATCAATTGCGGCATTCATTTTTTTTGTTTGGCCATACCTAGAGTAAAATGAAAATATGTAATTCTCATTTGAAACTGCAATCATTTGAATACAAGTATTTTTACCTCACAAGTAATCTTCTAGCTTGATAATCCAAACAGTTACTGCAGGAAACAAGTTCTCTAAATGCAGATGAACCAGAAAACCAGGCCTCTAAATCTAATTTTTTTGCAGCAGCATGATTCAGTGCACCAGATACAATATTAACTACCCTGTGAATAATGCAAAAATGGGAATGAGAATAATATTGTTTAATAATATGATTTATCTTATTATTATTTACCTATATGGAATTTCTAGAGACTGACAAAATTTCTCAGCATTGTCAATCATCTCATCCATCATTTCCCAAGATTTATTGTCATGAGGAGATGTAAGTACAAATTGTTCAACCTAAAACAAAACAAGGATATAAATAACTCACTGGAATATTTAAAATAAGTAATAATCACCTTTTCAAACTGATGAACACGGAAAATGCCTCTAGTATCTCTGCCATGAGATCCTACTTCTTGTCTAAAACAAGTAGATATACCTGCATATCTGAAAAATATGAGTATAATGTATAAATATTTCTGATATTACAATGATTAATGGAAATGAAATTAGTTTAATTACTTAATAGGTAATGCAGATTCACTTATCCATTCATCCCTATGGAAGGCTGCAATTGGTTGTTCGGAAGTTGCAATTAAATATTTCTCAGAATCGTCTTTGTCTGCACCCTTGCCAATTACTTTATATAATTCTTCATCAAACTGTGATAACTGTGCCACTTCTTGCATGATCTACAAAAATAAATGGAGTGAATAACTTGGATCCATATCAATAGCACAACTATAAAGGAAAAACTTGTAAAGTTTATGCCAAAATTAAAACCTCTTCACGCATAAAGAATGGAATATAGAGAGGTTTGTATCCTTTATTCCATAGCTAATGTAATAATTTGTATCTATGTCCATAACACTACTATAAAGGAAAGTCTCACAAAATTTATGGCAAAATTTAAATACCTCTTTACGCATAAAGAATGGAATATAGAGAGGTTTGTATCCTTTATTCCATAGCAAATGTAATAATTTGGATCTATGTCCGTAATACTACTATAAAGGAAAAACTCATAAAATTTATGGCAAAATTTAAAGACCTCTTTATGCATAAAGAATGGAATATAGAGAGGTTTGTATCCTTTATTCCATAGCAAATGTAATAATTTGGATCTATGTCCATAACACTACTATAAAGGAAAAACTCACAAAATTTATGGCAAAATTTAAAGACCTCTTTATGCATAAAGAATGGAATATAGAGAGGTTTGTATCCTTTATTCCATAGCAAATGTAATAATTTGGATCTATGTCCATAACACTACTATAAAGAAAAAACTCACAAAATTTATGGCAAAATTTAAATACCTCTTCACGCATAAAGAATGGAATATAGAGAGGTTTCTATTCTAATTCCATAGCTAATGTAATAATTTGGATCTATTGTTCATAACACTACTATAAAGGAAAAATTACAAAATTTATGGCAAAATTTAAAGACCTCTTTACGCATAAAGAATGGAATATAGAGAGGTTTGTATGCTTTATTCTATAGCAAATGTAATAATTTGGATCCATATCAATAGCACAACTATAAAGGAAAAACTTGCAAAATTTATGGCAAAATTTGAATACCTCTTTACGCATAAAGAATGGTGTATAGAGTGGTTTGTATCCTTTGTTCCATAGCAAATGTAACGCATGCTGTATTAAAGCATGCTCCAAAAATACAGCAGGACCTGTTAAGTAATAACCACGACCTCCAGATACAGTTGCACCTCTTTCTCCATCCATTCCTAAGAAGTAGTCATATGATAAAAATAAGTTGAGTATATTGTGATAACAAAGATTATGTTAAAATAATATTAGCCATACCATCAATCATGCAAATAAGATCAACATGAGAGTATTTAGTCTTTTTTGTGCAATCACCCCATGTGCGTTCTACTTTATTTTCATCTTCATCATTACTAACGGGAACTGAATCATGTAAATGATTACCAACTTCTCTTAAAGCAGAATTGCGTTTTTGCATTGCTTCAGCCAAATCTTGTTCATTTTGAACGACTGCTTGGTCAATAAGTGTACGAACCTATAGAAAGTAAAAATATTGTTGACAAGAGAAAGGAATTATGAAATAAATCTTATACCTTTTTAATCTGGTTGACAGTTAATGGGACTAATAAATCATTGGTCAAGCTATCTAGATTTTCCTTCACATTGTCTGGAACAGGGTCTGCATCTGAACCCACAGGTTCTTTCTTTTTCATCTTTTCTCCTACGGCTTTACTACACACATTTTTCAATTTATTCCAATTGTCCGCTTTATGTCTCAATTGTCTCCATAAGGAATCTTGATTTATCACTTCTTCTACTAAACCTACATCTTTGAACCTTTTAGTTTGATTTTCCCGAATTTTGTCCGGGTTTCCACCTTTGTCGGCACGAAATAAATCCAAATCCAACACCATTTTGATAATTTATTGAATTGAAATTAAGAGTAAAATAAGTTTTAAAAATTATTCGAGAATTACACAGTGTAGTTTAATAAATATTTTATAAAATCTTTATAGCATATTGTGGGCTGATCAACACTTTTTGTACCATTGTTATACAATTCCTTATCTAATAAATTAAATATTAATTAAAAAAAAATATTTATTTCCAATTTAATTTTTTTTTTTACTTTTCATACTAAGTTCCAATCTTTTCAATAAAACCATAATTCAGGTTTGTTGTTATTAATAAATATTTTACTCATAACTTACATTTTTAAAACTATTCCATCACATGTGGCTGATAGCAAAATTTAAATACCGTTTCTTCTATAACTCAAAATTAAATTCACATAAATTAAAATCACATGGAACTGCCCCATTAAACGACATTAAACAAAACTCTAAAATAAAACAAAACCTATAAAATCTTTTTATTTACTATTAGCAAATTATTTACCAGTCAGTTCACCAAGAACCCTGAATTGAACTTATGTAACATTTCCAAATTCAAAACATAAAACTGGAAAAAATTTCATAACTGTAATATTCTACCTTCTTACCATGTTAGCTAGATTTAATTGAAATTTCACATATATATCACATATAAATAAAATAAAATATTTTATTTTGCATTTTGTATTTTATTTAATAAAAATACAAAGATCAAGAGAAGAGTACTGCAAGATCACTTTATAGAATAAATACATAGCAACATGTCATTTTTATATATAAAAATGAGTAAAGTAATACAAATAACAATAATTAAAAATTAAATGCAAGTTGGATATTACGCCAGCATAAGCTTAGTTATTTTCATGTAATGTTTATAATAAATATGTATTAGATTGCTGGTCAAATTAATAGTATTATTGTTTATCCCCCTCTGCTTTTTTCTTGTTTTTAGCACTTTGTTCCAATTCTATTGGTGGTGGTTTCACAAATGGTATTTCATTTTGATATACTTCAGGCATATATTTCCGAAGTACTTCTGGAACCTGTGTGGGTTTTTTTCAAAAATGAAATAATTAACTATTTACTTGATTACTGTAGCAAATTAAAGGATGTATTACCTTGATACCAGTTTCAGTTTGATGCGTTTCCAAAATTGCACATATCACACGTGTTGTTGCACACATTGTTGCATTTAACATGTGGACATAATCAATTGCGGCATTCATTTTTTTTGTTTGGCCATACCTAGAGTAAAATGAAAATATGTAATTCTCATTTGAAACTGCAATCATTTGAATACAAGTATTTTTACCTCACAAGTAATCTTCTAGCTTGATAATCCAAACAGTTACTGCAGGAAACAAGTTCTCTAAATGCAGATGAACCAGAAAACCAGGCCTCTAAATCTAATTTTTTTGCAGCAGCATGATTCAGTGCACCAGATACAATATTAACTACCCTGTGAATAATGCAAAAATGGGAATGAGAATAATATTGTTTAATAATATGATTTATCTTATTATTATTTACCTATATGGAATTTCTAGAGACTGACAAAATTTCTCAGCATTGTCAATCATCTCATCCATCATTTCCCAAGATTTATTGTCATGAGGAGATGTAAGTACAAATTGTTCAACCTAAAACAAAACAAGGATATAAATAACTCACTGGAATATTTAAAATAAGTAATAATCACCTTTTCAAACTGATGAACACGGAAAATGCCTCTAGTATCTCTGCCATGAGATCCTACTTCTTGTCTAAAACAAGTAGATATACCTGCATATCTGAAAAATATGAGTATAATGTATAAATATTTCTGATATTACAATGATTAATGGAAATGAAATTAGTTTAATTACTTAATAGGTAATGCAGATTCACTTATCCATTCATCCCTATGGAAGGCTGCAATTGGTTGTTCGGAAGTTGCAATTAAATATTTCTCAGAATCGTCTTTGTCTGCACCCTTGCCAATTACTTTATATAATTCTTCATCAAACTGTGATAACTGTGCCACTTCTTGCATGATCTACAAAAATAAATGGAGTGAATAACTTGGATCCATATCAATAGCACAACTATAAAGGAAAAACTTGTAAAGTTTATGCCAAAATTAAAACCTCTTCACGCATAAAGAATGGAATATAGAGAGGTTTGTATCCTTTATTCCATAGCTAATGTAATAATTTGTATCTATGTCCATAACACTACTATAAAGGAAAGTCTCACAAATTTATGGCAAAATTTAAATACCTCTTTACGCATAAAGAATGGAATATAGAGAGGTTTGTATCCTTTATTCCATAGCAAATGTAATAATTTGGATCTATGTCCGTAATACTACTATAAAGGAAAAACTCATAAAATTTATGGCAAAATTTAAAGACCTCTTTATGCATAAAGAATGGAATATAGAGAGGTTTGTATCCTTTATTCCATAGCAAATGTAATAATTTGGATCTATGTCCATAACACTACTATAAAGGAAAAACTCACAAAATTTATGGCAAAATTTAAAGACCTCTTTATGCATAAAGAATGGAATATAGAGAGGTTTGTATCCTTTATTCCATAGCAAATGTAATAATTTGGATCTATGTCCATAACACTACTATAAAGAAAAAACTCACAAAATTTATGGCAAAATTTAAATACCTCTTCACGCATAAAGAATGGAATATAGAGAGGTTTCTATTCTAATTCCATAGCTAATGTAATAATTTGGATCTATTGTTCATAACACTACTATAAAGGAAAAATTACAAAATTTATGGCAAAATTTAAAGACCTCTTTACGCATAAAGAATGGAATATAGAGAGGTTTGTATGCTTTATTCTATAGCAAATGTAATAATTTGGATCCATATCAATAGCACAACTATAAAGGAAAAACTTGCAAAATTTATGGCAAAATTTGAATACCTCTTTACGCATAAAGAATGGTGTATAGAGTGGTTTGTATCCTTTGTTCCATAGCAAATGTAACGCATGCTGTATTAAAGCATGCTCCAAAAATACAGCAGGACCTGTTAAGTAATAACCACGACCTCCAGATACAGTTGCACCTCTTTCTCCATCCATTCCTAAGAAGTAGTCATATGATAAAAATAAGTTGAGTATATTGTGATAACAAAGATTATGTTAAAATAATATTAGCCATACCATCAATCATGCAAATAAGATCAACATGAGAGTATTTAGTCTTTTTTGTGCAATCACCCCATGTGCGTTCTACTTTATTTTCATCTTCATCATTACTAACGGGAACTGAATCATGTAAATGATTACCAACTTCTCTTAAAGCAGAATTGCGTTTTTGCATTGCTTCAGCCAAATCTTGTTCATTTTGAACGACTGCTTGGTCAATAAGTGTACGAACCTATAGAAAGTAAAAATATTGTTGACAAGAGAAAGGAATTATGAAATAAATCTTATACCTTTTTAATCTGATTGACAGTTAATGGGACTAATAAATCATTGGTCAAGCTATCTAGATTTTCCTTCACATTGTCTGGAACAGGGTCTGCATCTGAACCCACAGGTTCTTTCTTTTTCATCTTTTCTCCTACGGCTTTTACTACACACATTTTTCAATTTATTCCAATTGTCCGCTTTATGTCTCAATTGTCTCCATAAGGAATCTTGATTTATCACTTCTTCTACTAAACCTACATCTTTGAACCTTTTAGTTTGATTTTCCCGAATTTTGTCCGGGTTTCCACCTTTGTCGGCACGAAATAAATCCAAATCCAACACCATTTTGATAATTTATTGAATTGAAATTAAGAGTAAAATAAGTTTTAAAAATTATTCGAGAATTACACAGTGTAGTTTAATAAATATTTTATAAAAATCTTTATAGCATATTGTGATTTAAATGATGCAATCAGTTCTTCGTATCAGACGTCAACAACGTGCTACTGACCTGACGAGCCGGCGAAAAAATTGGTGTTACCAGATGATAAAAGACTGAGAAGGTATTTTAGTCCAGAAACAAACCAGCAAAATTTAACGCTTTTAATGGCTTTTAAACTCAATTTAATTTAAACATTTTTAATATTTGGCATAAGTTCTCCGCCTGTAATTATATAAGTAGTATACTTTTAAATTTTTTGTAATTTTCTTTTTCTTGTAGATAACAATGTACTTAAATATCTGAGAAAATTGGACTTTTCTGTCAATGTTTTTGAATGATATTTTGCCTATTTATTTAATTTCAAGTCTAAACATTAACTGGAATAATTAAATGCTCTTTTTATACATTGTTTAAAGAAACATCAAAAGTACAATAAAGTCTCTTAAGCTTTGAGCACGTGCTCAGTATTGCGGACCTACCTCAACAACCATTATGTTCGCTTTTGAATTCCTCTCCAAAACGTTTTAAAGTACGTTAAAAATCAAATATTGAAAACTTGTATTTTTAATTTATAATTATTAATCTAGTTTTGTTACTCCACAATCTATAAAAATCTAATACTTGACTTCCCCTAGGGCATGTTATATTAATTGCAAAAAAATCGAAAATGTAAATTTTTATATATCTTTACGTTTCAGGGGTTTCTGAACATTTTGACATACCTCAGAAAAAATGAATGTGTGTATATGTGTATGTGTGTGTGTATGTGCAGATATAAATTTTCGTCGTCGATTTCGGAAACACGGTTCAACCGATTTCAATTATTCAAAAAACATTCGATTCCTATTAATAAGGAGACGTGCTGATTAGCTTTTGGCATAGGCAGGTCTTGTCTAGCCGTTTCGAAGATACGGGGCAAAAAGTGCCAAAAACGGTAACTCGAGTTTCCAGCAATTTGCCTTAAGACACGATGCCATACACCACAAGTTATAAATTATTAATTTAACTTTGTTACTTCTCAATCTACCAAAGAGTAAAATTTAATGCTTTCAATTTAATGATATTTGAAAATCATTTCATTAACTTGTTTTACACATTCAATATTGTAATTACTTATAAGGAGAGTAACATCTCATCTCTAATTAATATTTAGGAAACTTTTAGTATTCTGCAGACAAAACTATTTTAATATAAGAAAGTATTTATTAAGTATTCTAGGAGATTCGGAAAGAAATTAAAACAACAATTATAAACATATATTTTAAAAAAGTCTTTTATCAATAGTCTTTTATAAAGCACTTTCTACCAGGATACAATTTAAATTACATTCTATAAATAAAAAAGCTTACTATTAAAATGAACATAAATACCAGAATGCCATAAGTGTCTTTTCTCTCTTATATACATAATAACATTTCAATAAATATTTGTATAAAAATAATATCTGAAATATGTACATAACTAAATTAATAGGCAAATCTCATTTCAGGATTATATCCTAATTTATCCAGACTAGGCTGGCATGCAAATTTGATCATTGGTGGAGGACCACACATAAGCACTAGAGTATCATCGGAAGGAGGAAACAAATGTTCTGCAATCATGTCTGAGTTTATAAAACCAGTGCTATATTTCCAATTGTCTGGTGGGCTATCAAGAGTATACCATAATTTAAATTGAGTTGGATCATTTTTAGCAATTTCTTCCAATCTATCACGCACTAATATATCCTTTTCAGTCTGGTTTGCAAATATCAAAGCGATTTCAGTTTGATCTGAGGGTTTTTTAACAATTTCCTCAACTAACTGAAGCATTGGTGTAATTCCTGTACCACCAGCTATCATATTTACTCGTTTTGCATGAACTAGAGCAGGTGGATCTTTACGTAACTTTTTGATTGAAAAATTTCCAGCACCTAAATAAATCAGTCTTCCTGATGGACCTCGCACATCAATTGTATCACCCAATTCTAAAGACTCTAAATGTTGACTCAGTTTGCCACCTTCTGGAAACTTGGGATGTACATTTTTAAAATAAACTTTAACAACTAAATCCACATATCCCTTATGGTCATCGCTTGTAATAGGTGTGTATGAACGTACTGTAAGTTCATCATTAATTGTTGCAGACAAATGTATGTGCTGACCCACTGGAAGTCCTAAAACATGTTCAGCAGAAGGTAATCCAAATCTGTATCTCCTAGTATCATGACTTATTTCTTCTTTTTCTATCAAAGGTAAAGCATATTTTACATTGGGATCTAGAAGTGTCTTTTTAACGCCCGGTTTTTTAGATTTATTTAGCACTTTCTTTAAAACAATTACACCGACAATTACTCCAATAGCCACGATGACGGGCATCAAAACAGCACACTGACAATCTACCATATTAATATTTATTAACTTGGTTATTCATAAATAATGTATTATTCAACCTGTTATGCAAACATGTTATACAATATCAAAATGTCAGACGATTTGAACAGTGAATCATAAAAGTACAATTAGAAATTAGAATTAGTATACAATCAGTTCAAGGTTATCTTAACATGCGGCGAGGGCAAATTCGAAGTATTACCTGATACAAATGTATGCATACAAGACAGGAATCGAAAATTAATAAGATGGTAGTTTTCATAGATAAGATAGTTAAATTATACAAAATATATAAATTACAATTAATAGTCGATTTATGCATTATTGGCATATCATATGATGTGTATTAAATAATCGACTTAATGAATATATTAAGTATGGGAGCTTTATATTGATAGAAACCATTGCGCATATTATTCAGTTTTTCTAAATATGTTAGTTATTTTGTTACAAATTTATTCAATAATTTTAATCAAATATTTTCAATCCACTTTTGTGATTCATTTCAAATATAACATAAAATATAACTAGTGGGGTGGGTGGCATCGTGCCTTAAGGCAAATTGCTGGAACTTCCCGTACCGTAACGAAATGTTCGAGGAATATTGAATGTTTTCAAATAGATTATTATAAATATTGTAACATTGTCTAATATTTATAAGAATTATATCAACTGAATTGCAGAGTTGAAATTATTTGTTTAAAGTATATTAGAACTATAGTCAGAATTAAAAATAAAATCTGAATTATTTTCGACATACAAAAAATTTAAAAAAAAAAAAATTTTTTTTTTCAAAATCAATTATTTTGTTAAGACAAGCAGAAAGTTCTTTGAATCAATTGAATCGACGCTTAGTTCTCTCAAAAACTGCCATTTTTTGTACATTTAGCTCTGTATCTCCGAAATGGCTGGGCCTGCCTTTGCGAAAAACTAATAACCCCTTCTCCCAATCATTACTAATTGAATGTTTTTTAGATCATTCAAATCGGATGCTCCGTTCTCTCAAAAACATTTCTATTTTCTGCACTCGTTGCTCCGTATCCCCGAAACGGCTGGCTTCGCCAAAAACTAATCAGCTCTTTTCCCTATCAATAGAAATCGAATGTTTTTTGAACCAATCAAATCGGTTGATTCGTGCGCCCGAAAACGTGGGCGAAAATTTGTATCCATACATACATACACACACACACACATCCATTTTTTCTGAAGTATGCCAAAACGTTCAGAAACCTTCAAAACGTCGAGAAATGTAAAAAATTTCAATTCCGATTTTCGGCCCATTACAGTAACTTACCCTACGGGAAGTTAAAAATATGTCATCTTCCTATAAGATTCCCATAGCACATCTATCTATTAAGGAAGTTATACCTGGTTACTCCTGGTTAATTATATTGAGGGAATCATATCATCCAATTTGGTACAAATTTTCTCAAACATGTTAGTTATTTTTGTAATATATTTGTCTAATAATATATTTCAAATATTTTCTTTAACTAACTAAATATTTTCAATTCACCACTCGGTTCATTTCAAATATTATAATAAAAATAGAAAGGTATCAAATTCCTATAAGATTCCCATAGCCTTTATTCCCATTCCCTTTATAACGCCTAAATGTATATGCAAGCACTCCATATATTCACGATACATAAATAAAAGAAGAGTACACAATATATAATAATAATAAAAGTAGTATATATTAGGGACATCCATCAACAAAGTAAACAGATATCAAGTAATATTACAATGAGATCGATTAACGCAAACATTTTCATTATTAATAGTAAATAGTGCAGATTTTATTGGATGGACAATTAATGATTAATTTGGCAATTAATTTGACAAAGTACATTAAGCTATTTAGCATACTTAATTAAGTATTTAAAATATAAATGAAATAATATTAATAATTGAATTAATTTAATTCAATAATTAATAAAAAAATTCATTTAATTAATAATAAAACAAATTAATAATAAATTAATTTAATTTAATTAATAATAAAACTAAACTAAATAAAATAAAATTTAGTTTAATTAATAATAAAACAAATGCATACATTTTAGTTCATATTTCATGTTTATATTTCTTGGCTTGAATGATGCCAAGAATAATCCACTTCTTTGGGAAGTTAAACTATACAAGTTAGACACATTTTAAAAACAAACGGCTATTTTATTTCATATTCATTATTTTTGAACATAATATATTTTCATTTATAACATATTAAATTCATGTCGTTCTATAACATGCATCTATACCATATCTATACATATATGTACTCATCATTTCAAAAATATAGGTACTAATGCATAATTTAGCACATAAGTTTTTAATATACGTTCCAATACAGTCTATTTATAATACTAACATAAAAATTACATTCTGAAGTTCATCACATATTTTATAGTACATAATTTATATTTAATAATATAAAGATTGTAATTGAGCGTAAAGTAATACTTATTATTTATTATTTTATACATGTAATTTTATTATATGTGTCAAAAATAAGGCTAACATCTGGTTTCTATAACTTATATTAGAACTAATTAATGAAAAAATATAAAATTTAAAATCATATAAATTTATTTTTATAAAATTAAAAGAGTGCACTAAAATAATACAAATCCTGCAAAGTTTTAATGAATGCAAAAATAAATTTGACTAGTATCAAAGTGATTATTCGGCCATGATAAATCAAATTTTAAAATACGTTTTTAAATAACTTGATAAATATAAATAATTCCTAAACATAAATAAAATAAACTTAACAAAATAAAGACTCAACTAATTTGTATTAACTGCTTTTATATAAATAGGAATGCTTATTTGTGATTAAAATTTAGAGTACTTGCATTATTGTTTTTTTTATTCTATCGCAACTATTTACTATCAATATAATTTATTTATATAAATATTTAGGATTTTATATACAAAAATTTACTATTTAATGAATTAATACTTCTCATAAATCATCACAAATTTACAGTAAATGTACAATACCTACAGATTTATATTTGAATAAAATTTTAATAAAACTTTATGCTTCATGATCTCCAGAATTTATTCCTATTAAAGCTTCTGTTTGTTCATCAAAATCCTTTAATCTAAAATTAAACAATGAATAATTAAAATTAACTCAATACACTAGATGTTAAAAAATTTAATTGACATTTTCACAAAAGAATAAAATTTTGAAGTAATAGAAGTAGTTGATAAAAACTAATCTTAAGTGATTGTATATATTAACTATCGAATTGTTTACATATTTCATTTACAATAAAGGACTTGATTTTATTGTACCTGAGTTGTTGTCTTTTTTTACAAATAAATTTGTACAGTCTCTTAATAATAGCCATCACAGGATCCCAATTGTCATAATGAGCTAATAATGTTACAGCAAAAAATGCTACAAGCATCGGAACAGTTCCCAGATAAAACATCATTGAATAGTTTACTCGTTTTAGTAATACATCTGCCAGCATCGACATTGGTATTGTTAAAGATATCGCAACTGTTGCAATTAAGGAAGATGTTAGAAAACAACCCCTAAAATAATAACATAAGTTTTAATTAAATCTATAAAATAAACTATTGATTTTTTTATTTATCTCACCACAGCCATAAAACTTCTGAAAGTACTGTACCCACAATACCATTTGCTAATAAAAATAACCATTGTTGTCTAGTCGGCCACTCAAACATTTCCAAGTTGCTATAATGAAATATGAATAATGCTGGCCATAACAAAACTAGATTAAATAAACCTACAAAACCTGAAAGTATATTCATAAGGGTAATTCTGAGACTATATTATCTTTAAGGATAAAAACAAATGAGTAGTTATTTACCAAAAAATAGTGGAATGTCCATTTTATCTTCATGGTCAACTTTGCGTCTAAGAAATACAAGATAGGCTGCATAAAATAGTGCGCTGACTAAAGCCAATACAACACCTGTAGGTACTTTTTTATCTATTTGTATGTCAGAAAATGTCACTAAAGCCTATAAACATAATAGAATAAATCGTAAGAATAGTAATAACATAAATGAAGACATTATTGAAATTTGAATATGAAAAAATAGTTTGACACTCACAACACCTGTGATGCTTAAACAAACTGCAATTAATTTGGATATAGTAAATCTATCTCCGATATTAGAAGGGAATAAAGCAGCTAAAACAAGTGTGAATAAACTTGACGTTGAAGATAAAACTGTAACCGTAGCAGCTTCTGTTTGTGATAATGCCAGCTGAAATGTGTAATTAGCAGCAAACCACTGTGAAATAATAAATACATGGTAAGAACATGAAATTATAATTATTATATCTTAACTATATTAAAGAGTGATTGAATTGATTATGTAAAGGGTGAATATTACAGTTCTATTATTAGAATTTAACATAAGAATGTTTTAAATGGTGATTAAGATTTAGAACTTCAATATATATTTAAAAATATATATATTTTAATTAAAAATAAGTATTTGGTTTCAAAATAATAGATAGTATTAAAATTGTGCTAGTCGCTGTGAAAATTGTATTAAGATTTGTTGTAATAATACAGAATTATGTAAATTTTAATATAATTCAGTAAAAACATTATATAAAATAATATTGTATCAAATTTTATCTTGAATGAAGCCATTATTAACTTCCCGTAGGGCAAGTTATAGTAATCGCAAAAAAATCGAAAATGAAAATTTTTGCATTTCTCGACGTTTCAAAGGTTTCTGAATATTTTGGCATACCTTAGAAAAAATGGATGTATGTGTGTGTGTGTGTGTATGTATGTGCGGATACAAATTTTCGTCGACGATTTCGGGAACACCGATCAACCGATTTGAATAATTCAAAGAACATTCGATTCTTATTGATAAGGAGACGTGCTGATTAGTTTTTGGCAAAGGCAGGTCTAGCCGTTCCGAAGATACGGGGCAAAAAGTGCCGAAAACGGTAACTCAGTTTTTAAGAGAACGGAGAGTCCAATTTTAATAATTCAAAAAACATTTTACTTGTATTGACAAAGTGAAGAACCGATCAAATTTTCATAAAGGCAGGTCTAGCGGTTTCGGAGAACTAATGAAAAAAGTAAAAAAAAAAATGACATTTGGCGGTCAAAAATGATCATTAGACATATGCACATCAAATTATCAGATATTTTATAGAGATTTTAACAATAAGTAAATTTGGTTTACATTCCTATGGGTTCCGTACCAATGTTTATGCGTTAGACGGCGGCGCGGCGCTTACGCGCTTTATATTTTGTCTCTATGCAGTTAAAGCAGTACGATTGCTTTGAAAAAAAAATCAGATCCTCCAACATATGTCGAAATAATGAAAACATTTTTTTTCAAAAAAAAATTAAAAAAAAAAATAAAAAAAAAATTTTTTTCAATTTTTTTTTTCAAAAAAAAAAGTAATTTTTTGTCAAATTTATAGTTTCTCAAAAATCTTATTTTTTCGAAGTAATTTTTTTTCAAAAATGTTAATCGTTTTTAAAAAAAATAATAATATTTGGTACGGGAAGTTCCAGCAATTTGCCTTAAGGCACGATGCCCTAATTGCCTTAAGACAGAATTCCACTTACAGCTAGTTATATCTTACTATATTAAAGAGTGATTGAATTGATTATGCAAAGGGTGAATATTACAGTTCTATTATTAGAATTTAACATAAGAACATTTTAAATGGTGATTAAAATTTAAAACTTCAATATATATTTCAAAATAATAGATAGTATTAAAATTGTGCTAGACGCTGTGAAAATTGTATTAAGATTTGTCGTAATAATACGGAATTATGTAAATTTTAATATAATTCAGTAAAAACATTATATAAAATAATATTGTATCAAATTTTATTTTATCTTTATGAATGAAGCCATTATTCATATTTCAGTTCTTCCATCGAATTTGCAAGGTCATGTGGTGACCACGTGTGAGCTATGGACCAATCATAAAAAAGATGTCATGCGTACTGTAAATTGAACCAATCACGAAGCAGGACACTTTTGCATGTTTTGGTTTTAACACCACGCACGTTTCTTGCATACATTTGTGTACACCAAAAGCATTATTTTATAATTGTCACTTATTAGATTTTAAATAATAATTGACAATAACAATGGACAACATGGATATCCCAGGAGACATTCTGACAGAAGGCTTTAAATTGAGGTATACTTGTCGATAGTAATATTATAATAAAATTGTTTAGCATAACTGAACTTCTAGGTTATTTAACGTCTACTTAAACTTTCATTAAACTTGATTCAAGTTATGGTTGTAAACGAATTAATGTAGTATTACTTCGTTAACGATTTTGTTTAAATCCTTGCCTTTTTTAAGAAATTCATTGAAATATATTTTTATATATTTTGAGTGATTTTTTTTTTGCATAGCCTTTGTAAATTGCAATCCATTTTAAACGTAATTCTTACTTTCCTATATGTAAATATATCAGTACATGTTCTCAAAGTCTTCTTATATAATTATAGTGATTTATTGGACAAGGGTGTAACCATAACTTTAGACAATAATCCAGAGAAAAGGGTTTATGATTACTATGAGAATGACTTTTTTGAAACTCCATCTCGCAAGGAAAGCTATGAAAGAGGTGCTCCGGGAGAACAGAGCTTTGAAGAAATATCAGCACGCATGACCAATGTAGATGATACGGGATTGATAAAAAAAGCCCTTCTCAAGCAAGGGTACGGAGCAAAAGTAGCTGAAGGTAATAGAACATTTTATAATCCATAATAAATGATATTATAAGATACCCATTTCCAGGTGCTCATGTTCTAATCCATTATAATGGATTTTGGGATGGTGAGAATGTATCTTTTGATTCAACTCTGCTGCGTGAAGACCCAAAAGTAACTATCTTAACTTTAATTTGAACACCTTTCAAACCTCTAAAGATTTCATTAAAAAAATTATTATTTCTAGTCATTTATTATTGGTGAAGGAGAGATATTGCCAGGAATAGAAGAAGCTGTGAAAACTATGACTCAAGGTGAAGAAGCTGAATTTCTTGTGTCTTATACATTACTTTTTGGAGAGGCTGGTTGTCCCCCACGTGTAAGACCAAAAGCTGATGCGCTATTTTATATTAATGTTGTCAGAGTAATTGAACATTATAAGGATTCTATTATGTATAAAAGCCAACAGAGTACTGAGAAAAAATTTGAAGATGTGTACAAGTATGCGAAATCTTTACATCAAAATGGGCTGGAAGCATTTAAGCTCAACAATTTAGAAGCAACTTTGAAATATTTTCATAAGGCAGTAAATATTATGGAATTTTCTCAACAAAGTTGTGAGGCAGAACAAGAAATGCAGAAGGCTTTGCTAATAAAACTCTACACAAATTTGGCAGTTTGTTATAACAAACGAAATAATCCTAAAAGAGCTTGCATTATGTGCAATGAGTTAGCTAGAATCACTAATATCAACACTAATTGCAAAGTTTTGTACCAAAAGGCAATTGCATTACAAAACCTAGGAGAATATGAACGTGCAAAAGCCTTATTGATGAAAGCAAAAAATTTGAAACCAACTGATGAAGATATTAACAAACGATTAATAAATCTAGTAGATTTAATAGAACAAGAAACTAAGCAAGAAAAGGCTATATGTGCAAAAATATTCAATTTGAAGCCTGATCAGAATCCATCAAAAAAAGATGAAACACTGGAAACTTATCAGAATAAAAAAATCTTAGACATTGTTGAGCAATTCCAGGCATCAAATAGTACTGAACTCACATTATCATTATTTTTGTCTACGAATGATGTGAATTATATTAAAGTTTTGTTAAGTAACCCAAAATACAAAATGACATTGCAGAAGGTGATGGATAATTATATACTTAAGAAAAAATAAGAACCAACCAGTATTATGCTTTATATCTTAGAAAACTTACTCTATTTTGGATAATTATATACTTAAGAAAAAATAAGAAGCAACCAGTATTATGCTTTGTATCTTAGAAAACTTACTCTATTTTGTATTTTTGTTTTTTTATAAATAGACATCCTAATGGAAAAATCTAAAGTTTAATAAAAAGTATTACTTATATAAATGTGTTTTAAAATTGTATCAAAGCTTACCAATAAGCAGAATAACAAAGCAATTTTTGCTATTCTTTGTGTGGGCAAACGATTTGCGGCCCGCCGTGCAGCCTCGCTTGCCCTTAAACTTGCGTGGTAAGATAATCTTGCCAATAATGCTTCTGTTGCTCCATTATCAGGCATTTGCCGTACCTTAAGCATAAGTATAAATTAAGATAAATAATAAAGCATTTCTAATAAGTGTAAATCAATTTTAGAATAAATATCACAACTTAGGAATTTATTATTCACCTCAGCTAATTTATTAAATCTAACACTTCTAATACTTCCATCATCACTGTCGGAAGTACAATCCGCTTGATGCATATCTTCGGAACATGTTTCTCTATTAGGGGTTTTAACAGGAACAAATACAGGTTCTCCTAAACTTGTTGGAGAATTGTCTTCCACTGTAAAGTTCTCATCATCATGTGGTTCAGAAACCAATAAGTAAGAAGGACTTTTATAGGGATCTACATTTGTATAATAGTCTCTCCATGGAGGCCACAGGCATAGACCAAATAAATAGAATGTAAACAATGATGTTTTTAAGTATGTAGAAAAAAATGGTTTTTCATACTCTTGGTTATGATATATATACTGAAAACAAAAGTAATGTTTAATACATGATAACAAATGTTTAATTTAATAAACATTTATAGTTATCTCTTACTTTAGTTAGCTCTGATGACGAAACCCATATAATATCTACTAACAGTAACACAAACAGTCCAAGAAAAAGTCTTTGATTTTTATTAAGCATAGCACCAAGGGAAAGATTTGCTTTATCATCTGCAACACTCATTTTCTCTTTAACCTCAAAACAGTGCTAAAATTAAAAAATTTAAAGATAAACATCACTATTTATTAAATAATAAAAAATAAAAAAGAAATCTCCAAGAACATTTTATATAATTAAAAATAGCAATATTCTATATTGTAAATATTTACCTATTATTAACATGATTTTTAATAAAAATATTATATAAAAATAACATATTTAATTTATTCTTGATGATTTAGAAACACTTTCAACTTAAATTTCATTTTTAAAATCATTCGTTACAAATTAATATTATTAAAATATTTACAATTGGTTATTGCGACAAATGTCAAAATTTGATAATAGAGATGTCATATTGGATTTAATTGTGATTCGCAGGGTCGCCATCCTTTAAAAATTGAGAGCCAAATTTAAATCGACGAAATAAACAAATTGCGCAAGAATATATTAATATAATTTTTTTCTTTTACGTAATTAGCAATTTTTATATCTTTCAATTATTAATAGTTATAACAAAAGTGCAATGGAAAAGTATTATCAGCAACATGTTCAAAAACAGTAATTGAATCTTGCTTCTTCTCTCTACATGCTTTTATTATATAAACATACGTGGAGTTTAATTGATATTTGGAATTGATTCATGACCTTTTATAATCTGGAATGCAGTTTTATTTGATTTGAGTTGCTTTGTTCAAATTTATTTAAGAAATATCTTGTGAATTATGTAAATGTAATGAAATTGATTATCGTATTTACAAATTATACAAATATTTATAAACAATATAATATAATACATAGTAAACAGTATAATATGTAATATTGATAATATAATATATATATATATATATATATATATTTATATATGTTTGTGTGTGTATTTGTTCTGTGTTTGTAATGCTCTGCTTCCTAGCAACCTATTGTAGTAAACATATACTCTTCTTTTATCTATGCGTATAACATTCATTTTTTGCACTTCATTAGGTTTAGTGCAAAAGAACTCTATAATTATATAAATTTTATACTCTAGTATTTAAATATAAAGGATCTAGCAATAATATCTTAAATGCACACGGCGGAAAAATTTATTGGCAACGGAAAGCAAACGACCAAATTGCCTGAGTATACTATGAAAGGTATCAGACAAAATATAAAGAAACCTTTTAAAAATGTAAAACGTCGTTTTAAACTTTTATTTATTATATTTAAAAACAATCCAAAAAGATAATTCTACACATAATACACAGTTTTAAATAAAAAAAAATATTTATAGCTAATAAAAATTATGCAGTACAATCAACGCAAAACTTGGAATGGCTCTTGTATGATAAATATGTACGTCGACAATTCACCATTTGCCGGCAAATTATAGCACAAACTTTGAAAGAAAATGATTGTCGAAGTGAATACTGTTATTATATACAGGTATATACAAAAATAACCATTTCGACCATATAATATTTAAATATATTAATCAACTTGTGCCGATATTTTATTGGTGCGATTTGATTGTATGGATTATTTAAAATAGGCAGTATAATAAAAAATACATAAAGACATAAACTGGTTTATTGCTCGAATTTTAAGGGTCTGATACTACGAGAAGAAAATAAACTACAAGAATCACTCATCAGTTTTCAAAAATGCAGCAAATTGAATTCCAAGAACGTTGAAAACATCAAACAAGTTGCCAGAACATTGTATGAGAATATAACATATTTGATACAATTGTTATATAACAATTGTAATAATTTTTAATCATATTATTAGATTTTTATTGGGAAGATATCACTTATCTCTAGAAACGTATAAAGAGGCGGAAACACTGATCGCCAGACCAGATTGGGAAATTTATCACTATATAGGTAATTATATTATATGCATACAAATATAAATTATTATATAAATTATATGTGTATGCACTCTTATAATTTGATTGAAAACCACGTAAACAAAAAACAAATAAATGAGTGCTATTAATAACGTAAAACATATGCAACCAATATGTAATTATTTTTACTTAATTCGTCAAATATATTTCAACGTCTTTCAAAAAAAACTTCGTATGTATTTACAATATAGATTTTGCGAGGCATTCATCGAATTATTAAATAAAAACAAAATTAGGGTTATTTCAAAATTAAATTAATTACATTTTCAATGAGAAACATGCATTTGATTTGAATAAAAAAGAATAGATTTCTAAGATTAAATGACATAAAATGATTATAGACAGTAACAATTCTGAAAAATAAACACTAATAATCAATATATAATTAATAAATTGACCGTTATTAGCAAATTTAATGTTTCCAATTGAAATTACTGATCTTCCCCGAATCGAGTTGGAGTTTACCTCAGTTCACGGATCTGCTCTAGGGCAGTACTAGGCATTATTATTATTATTATTATTATATATATATATATATATATATATATATGTATTTCAGTCAATTCGTCAAATTCAAATATAAATTGAAATTAATAATTCTTTTTTTGACTCTCTTAATAATTCTCTTATCATCATTAAATATCGATATGTATCATTCAGAAAATCAAAAATACTTAGTCACAGAAAAATTAAGAATGAACAAAAGAATTTGTTAAAACAAAAACAATATTTTGCAAAGAGTATGCATACTATTTTATTTTCGATTTGCTGAATAATGACAACATATTAAGGGGGTATTCTAGTGTAGAGCGATAAATTTTAGATCATTTTTAAAGTGTCATAAAAGAAAGCAATGGATGTTTTCACTATCTATTATTTTACCACTTGTTTATTAATATTATTAAAATACAAAACAAAAATTAAAAAATAAAAAAGTTGAAAATTGTAAAAACTGGCAGCTGATGAAGTGGGTGGTCTCAAAAAATTGGCACCTCAGTCTTGACATGATTTCAGCCCTCCTAGCCATCGGAAATGCAAAAAATAAAAAGATTATTAATTTACAATGATGTCGCAATCACCTGAACTAGCGATGAGTAAAAAAATTTTTTTTAACAAATTGGCGACTGCTTGAAAAACAGTGTTTTTTACTGTTTTTTTTGAGTTTCTCGAATTTTTTAAAAATAGTAAAAATTGGAATTTGGGGTTAATCAATCCTAGTTGGGGCTAAAGATAGGTCTATTATAAACAAGACTCTCTGATTATTTCAAGTGAATCGGTCGATTAAAACTCGAGAAATCTAGTCAACAGTACTGAAAAATCTGTTCTGAGAAAAACGCATTTAAAGTTTTGCGTGAAGCCAAACCAGTATGGAGACCGAGTCAGTAAAATGCCTATATCTCCAAAAATAATTCAAATTTTCGAAAACCTTCTCGTACCCATATTCTTAGATAGTTAAACTTTAAAAATATGAAATAAAAAAAATCGATTTTTTTGAATTTGTACACTAGAATACCCCTTTAAGTGTCGAACTAATAATTGTCAATATAAATATTTCAATTTCATTTCAACATATGGAAAGTGGAATGTTACAAAATTATTATATATAGCTACAAATCTTTTTTATTTTCGCAAAAAATTATATATCTTTGCATATATCCACATTATTTGCGAACATATCTTGTTAGGATAATCATGATTATCCTATCCTATTACTGCAGTTATAAGGTACTGATATGTTTTCGTACGTGTAGTAAATTTAATAGTAAGTAAATTAGATGATTTCATCATGCAGTTTAGCACATGGTGTATATTAGGGAATGCAATACCGGTATACCGGTATACCGAATTACCGGTAAACCGCCCGATTTTTCGGCGGTATTTTTACCGGTTTTCATTCCAAAAATACCGGTATTTTCGGTATTTTTACATAAGCGCTATTTGATACATAATACCCTAAAGTTTAAATTTCTCGGAACAAATTTATCTTTAAACTCCAGAATTGCATAAACAGCTATATCTTCAAGTGATTCTATAAGATAAACAAATGTCAAATATTATCTCAACTCGTCATTAAACTGAATATTTATTGCTTTCCAAAGGGCTTCATATCGTGTTACAATAAATAGAATTGGACTGATAGATAATGATGTTTGTTTCATCTTTTGTAAAAATGTAACGGTTTTAAGTGATATTTGCGTCAAAATATTTTATATCATACAGATTACCCCTGCGTAATCTTTATTTTTTTTAACTTTATACCCAATAATTATGATAATTACTAAATATTATATTTACCGGTATTCCGGTTTTAAAATGAAAAATTACCGAAATACCGGTATTGAAATTTTCCATCGGTATTGCATTCCCTAGTGTATATCTACGTCATAGTGCTACATATCAAATACATTTATCAACGTCGGAGGAATTATCAAGATACACACAGATATAATAAAAATATTTTCTATGCACAGTTATAAAAGATTATATCAATCTACTCTAGTATACATATATGCATACATTTTACGGATTCATATAAGAGAATCTCCGTTTTATCTCTAAACTCTCATCAATTTTAGCGGAGTGCATGTTACGCGGTGCAGTGGGTTCCAGACATGAAGCTCTGCATTATCTACGCCGTGCTGCACAAAACGGAAGACAAATACAATCTTACAGTTTGTTAGCCGAGCAGCTGAAACGGGAGAACGACTACGCAGCTGCTACGAGCGTCTACGAATCGGCCCTAGAGTAAATCCATAATGACAATATTGATATTATTATTAGATATATATATATATATATTAGAGATGGGTAACTCACTCCGGAGTTATCACTCCGATATAACTCCTCCCTCGAAGTGAATCCGAGTGGAGTTGTCTTACAGGATTTATCATATCCGACTTCCCTAAACTGATACTAAATCTGTTAACATGTGCAGATATTTGCATGAGATTTTTTACTAATACAAAAGTTTGGGTTGAAAGAAGTGGTTTTTTTTTCGCACAGGCAGTTTTAAGACTTTTCGTATATAACGTCTCAAAGTAATGCTATTTTGTATTCTATATTCTGTATATTAAAATACTCGTCCTATTACAGAAATTGTAATAATAATATATCGTATAGAGATGTGACAACTGATTGGGTTGCCATCTGTCAAACAGACTAGTATTAAGTCAAATCATCACAACAGCTTATATGACTATTAGGTTCTGATTGCTGTTCAAAAATAATAATAAAAAAAAAATTCTGTATACGTTAATGTTTGTCCGTAAATGAGCTTTTTCAATGGTATACAACCAGCTAAAAAATATTAAGTATTATAATATAACTTTTACACAATTATGATTTTATAATTGTGTACATGTAATAGTATGCTAATCAAACTACCTGATGTATAATTAATTCTCGAAAAAGAAATAATAATAGAATGTGAAGTATTATTATTTTGTGAAAAATATTATACACAAGGATTTGTTCTTATTTCATATTTCATACTGCATTATTTTCATATAAAAATGGACATATTCAAAGAATTCTATATTTTCTCTTCAAAAATAATTGCTAAAATTGATTTTGATTTCCAAGTTTTTTGTCAATTTGAGATTTGCATGCAATGCATAAAATAGTAATTATTATAATAAAATGAACAAAAATGTTTGAACTATTTGTAAACTATTTCCAAAGCCTTAATGCATCCTTAGATATGTTAACAACACACTAGAGAATACATTTGTGTGAAGTATTATGTTTCAAAGTTGTCGGAGGTATGGAGTTGTTAAGTGGATATAACTCCTCTCTGAAGCGGAGACAAATCCTAACCGATCCGGCTTCGGATATGATAAGCCCATCTCTAATATATATATATATATATATATATATATATATATTTTATTTTTCTATTATTATAAAAAAATGATTTTTTTATATTAAGAGTTACCCCCGATGGAGCTTGGCTTCATGCTGAGTTAGGCTTGCTACTTTTAGAACAGGGCGAAACCCAAGCCGCATTCGAACGTTTGGGCACGGCTGTGGCTTTGCGTCCTGACTGTGAAAGGGCTTTGTTGGCTGTAGCTTCGGTCATGCAAGTAAAGCAACCCATTTTATAATAGATGTTTCAATCTCAGTATTTTAGTATTACTATAATTATACACTATGTGGCAATTACTAATTAGACATGAGCGAGATACTTACTGGTAAATTTACTACACGTACAAAAACATATCAGTATTGTATAACTGATTGTCATAAAAAGATATGTTCAAAAATAATATGGATATATGCAAAGATATATAATTTTTTGCTAAAATAAAATATAGATTTGCAGCTGTTTAATAATTTTGTAACACTCCACTTTAAAAACTAGTTTGTTTTAAGATTTTCTATACGGAAAACAAACATAAACTAATAACAAAAACTCATCAAATATATAAATATCATTGGTTAGAGTAAAAGAAATATAAGCATTCCATAACAAAGTATCTAGAAATTAAAATAACTATAACTTATAACAATAAAAAATATTAATATTTTATTATTACTTAATCTACTATTTCCGATTTAGTCCCATATATACACAAACGTACACACATATATCGGATTAAATCGTAAATTATAAATTAACTAGTGGGGTGTATGGCATCGTGCCTTAATATTGTAACATTGTCTAATATTTATAAAAATTATATAAACTGAATTGCAAAGTTAAAACAAAAATTTTATTTTTCCAAAATCAATTATTTTGTTAAGACAAGCAGAAAGTTCTTTGAATCATTTAAATTGAACGCTTAGTTCTCTCAAAAAATGCCATTTTTTACACATTTAGCTCCCTATCTTCAAAATGGCTGGGCCTGCCTTTGCCAAAAACTAATAAACACTTCTCCTAATCATTACTAATTGAATGTTTTTTAGATCAATCAAATCGGATGCTCCGTTCTCTCAAAACCTCGATTTCTATTTTCTGCACTCTTTGCTCCGTATCTACGAAACGGTTGGACCTGCCTTCGCCAAAAACTAATCAGTTCTTTTCCTTATCAATAGGAATCGAATGTTTTTTGAACCATTCAAATCGGTTGATCCGTGCGCCCGGAGAACGGAGTATCCGATTTGAATGATCTAAAAAACATTCAATTAGTAATGATTGGGAGAAGCGTCTAGTAGTTTTTAGCAAAGGCAGGCCCAGCCATTTCGATGATACGGAGCTAAATATGTAAAAAATGGCAGTTTTTGAGAGAACTAAGCGTCCGATTTAAATAATTCAAAGAACTTTCTGCTTGTCTTAACAAAATAATTGATTTTGGATTATTATTTTTTTTTTAATAGTTTTTCTTGTATATCAAAAATAATTCAGATTTTGTTTTTATCCTGACTAAAGTTCTAATATAACTTAAACAAATAATTTTAAATTTGCAATTCAGTTTATATACTTCTTATAAATATTAGACAATGTTACAATATTTATAATAATCTATTTGAAAAAACGGTACGGAAAGTTCCAGTAATTTGCCTTAGGGCACGATGCCACCCACCCCACTAGTTTTTCATTGTCATCTGCTGTATATTTTCATAGAAAACGCTAATATTTCCTTCACTCCAACCAAATCTTTTAAAAACCGTACATTTACCATAGCTTAATTTGTATTCCTAAGTTGAATAAATTGTATTTTTAAGTTGAAGATGAAGCAAACATGTGAATTTTATATATGAATCTTTTAAAACCGTAGCTGTACTTGTAAGTTCGTACAAGTATATACTTATTTCTAATTAAATTTATAAAAAATGCTTGCAAGTAATATTATGGTATGATTTTGGCACTTCACAACTTATTTTCATAAATATCGTTCTTCTATTAAAAATTTAGTCACATGGAGACTACGATGCTGCCCTAGCTAAATACAAAGTGGCTGCTCAAAACTGCATAGATAGCCCTGAATTGTGGAATAATATAGGATTATGTTTCTATTACAAGGGCAAAATCGTAACGGTAGGAGATATATTACTTAATACATTTTATCATTGTTATTTATATTATTCTTACTTTAATAGGCACTTTCCTGTTTATCCCGAGCTGCAAGATATTCTCCATTATCAGCTCCAATATTGTATTCACTTGGCATGGTGCTTTTGTCGGCGCAGCAGCCGGCGTCCGCTTTCGTTTATTTAAGTGCTGCAGCTAATTTGAGGCCCACTCATGCACTTTCTTATATGCTCCTAGCAGGCACTAAAAATTAAATTTTATTAGATATTATATTTATATTAACTTAAAAATCTACTATTTTCATTATATTATCCTTTATTTCAGTCGCCCTCCAACGGTTAGGAGACGACCATAATGCAGGGCTAGCTTTCGAAAGAGCTTATGAGCTTTTCAAAACTTCAGAAAAACGAAAGGATGAAAATGACTTACTAGTACTTGTTAATAGAGCCTTATATTTGACCTTGCAAAACAGCATTGATGCTGCTAGAGTTCACCTGCAGGAATTTCAAAAGTTGTCGAGCAACATAGAAGTTTCTGAAAAGGTAAATTTATAAAATACTTATGCAAAATTCAATAAAATACTTCACCAGATATATGTATATGAACTTACCTCAAGCTATATAATTTATTTTATTATTAAAGCTATATTTTTATTATTAAAGGTGGAAAACATCACAGCAAGTCTTGCTATTGTTCTAAATGTAAAGTCTAAAGAAAACATCGATTCCCAACTTGATGATTTTGTAGAAGAATCAAATACAGATAATAATGTGAATGCAAATATAGAAAATGAAGAAGTTGCTCATATATTTGGGGAAGATGAAGTATAAAAGAGATGTATAATAAAAATTACGTTGATTCGATATTCAAATAAAATATAGACCAAATATTTACTAAACATGTGCATTAAAATATAAATGAATAATTTTTTTTTGACAAATTACGGGTGTTATTTCAATTAATAAAACTTTCAATAATATATGGGTTAGCAAAAATTCAACAATCGTTTTATTATAAAATAATCCATAATTTTTATTTGCAAAAATTTTAACAATCATTTTATTGCTAATAATTTTGATACTTATAATTGAAAAAAAAAATTATTTGGCAATTTAATAAAAATTAATATTTTATGTGGCTTATTTTTACTTTCATAATACATATATAGAAACTGTCATATATTTTTCATTTTGTATAAAATTTAGTTACAACAATGTATAAGCTTACATAAATACAAATACAAAATAAATCATTGAGTTTTAAAACCATAGTAGAGCTTTATCAGAATAATATTTGGAAGAATTATTCAAATTTATCTGAAATGTATCAAACTCCAAAAAGCATTAACGATAAATAATAATCTATTTTATCTACTATAATAAATTTTACATTTTTATTATTACATTACAATATATATTGAAAACCTGTAATATTGTTTAACATTAATATAGTTTTTTTTATAAGAAATTTCATATTGGAACAATTTAACATTTTATAGAATATAATTTGACACATCGTATTTATAATTTTTATAGTTATATACATTATATAACAACCATATTTTTTAGGTACATACATAAACTGACTTTTATCCATATTATTAAATTTAGGAATAGTGATTAAAAATGTAAAAAATGTGTTCTAAATTTATAATAATTTAACTATCTAAATTTAGAAAATTAATTTAGACCTTTGCATACTGGATTCTCGACTCAATCAGCCAGGTTGCCCGCATCTGAAATTCCACCAGTCGTTTTCATATTTCACAACAAGTTTAACCTACTATCATCTACTTTTGTAAATTTTATAAACCTTTAATTTTTTAAAAACCTGATAATATAAACAAAATTAGAAAAATAATTTATTAAAATTATAATTTAGTCAAGTAATATGTGATGATTTGTTAGCAAAGACAACTTTATGCAATACGACTAATTTTTTTATGCATGTGTTAATAACTTTAGATCTCTCTCATACGTTTTTCACAATTTGCAAATAAGTCTTTGGCGATAATTATTTTTTGCTTATAAATTAAATAATTTCTGTCGTATAGCTTAAATCTGTCTTAGCCGTGTTCATTTTCAAAAATAATTCGCAAAATCATTATAAAAATGCGGAACCCAAATAATTAAGCAATATTATGAAAAAAACACCAATAAATAACTAAGCAAAACATAATAAACTATAGTAGTTAGTTCTAATAAAATATGTTTTTTTATAGTAAACTAACATATAAGCACAAATTAAAAAAGCGATTAAAGTATTAAATTGTGATAAGTTTATATATGTATTAAATATAATATATTTCTAAATTTATTTATATAAACTTAATAGGGCTTATAAATATATCTAACTATAAAGATTAAAAGCAACAGAATGCATAAGAAACTTATTGAATTAAATATTATATATAAAAATAAAAAAATAATTATTGGGCGATTGAAAATATGAATGAACTATAATACTCTCAAAAGTGAAATTTGGTCATTCTGACAAATAGGAGGAAAGAAGATGCAAAATTACCTCTGGAATTGATATATTCCAAAGATAATATAATTCATAAAAATGTAGTAAAGTTTGAATGTTTATGACTAAAATCAATAACAAATGCATTATATATATTACAATCAGAAAGATGAAGATATGTTTATAAATTATTATTAACGGTCAAAGCAAATCATCAAAGCACATTCATTATTATTAGATGTTACGTTCTAAAAATATGTTTTCTATCACATAAATTTTTTGCATGTCATACGAGTAATTAAAGCTTTTGTAAACCCACAGCATAAGTTTATGTCATAAACTTAATAAACGCAAGTAGAGTTATCATCAATATATACACGAATAATAATAATAGACAGCGTGTTATACACAACATACACTGATTTTAACGTAATTTAGGCCAATAGTATTGAATACTTAAAATGACTTACTTATTTACTTATTCAAAATTAATAATAATAATTTAATAACTTTTTTAATAAAGTTTATTGAAATATGTGATAAATAGTAAATAGAAGTTGTAACGGAACTATATTCACACATTCAATATTAACAAATCAAGGTATCCAAAAGGAAGAATAAAGTTTTAAAGCAAATATTAAATAACTCCCTACTATCTGAATGCCAAAATATTGAACGTAGTTCAATTATATTAAAACAACTTAACATATAGAACTTCTTTTAAATGAGTTTATACTAATAAAGTTGACATGAAAACTTCTATTAAATCAACTTCTATATAATGCAACATGCAACTTCAATTCAGCATATCTTAGCTTGGAGGATTTCAAAATATTTTATGAAATTATGAAAATGAGTTTATTGAATTATTGACACTATAGAATTAGTAATAAATGTAGATACACCAACTTCTTTGGATTTTGGTGTAAAATGAATATATCCATCACATCTTAGAAGTTATAACAGTGATTACGATAAAGCATACGAGTGCCTTGGATTATATATTCACAACTATACATTATCAAAGTACATATATTCATTTACGTTAATTTTTTGAATAAACCAGTCAATATGAATTATGATATTTAAGATTATATCATAATAATGGCATCGCAGTGGTCCCACAGAGAATGTAAGAATTAAATAGTAAATTTTAATTTAAAAAAATGAGAAAGCTTCCACCCGGAATTCTAGTAAAAAAAGTTAAACTCATTGCATTATAACACGCTGCCTATATGCTTCAGTATAACTTATGTACAATTTAAAAGAAATCCATATAATCTCATGTACAACATTATTTTACACCAATTGCGCACAACGACTAATTGCACAAAATGTATTTAGTTACCACTCATTTGGAATTATATACAAATATAAACATATCCTACAATGCGGTAACGGTCTGACCTATGTCTCGTTTGACCGCCTTGCATCAAATCACGGTGCTCTGCACCTCCTGAGATTGCGAAACTTGCCTGCCATTCTGCTTGCTCGCCTCAGTTTTATTGTGCACTGACGCCCCGCCGCCCACGCTCACCGGCAACTTGGCCAGAACGCTCGACGGCTTGAAAAGGTGGCCAAACGTCGTTCGGAATTGGCGACTCATTGAGCAATAGAGTATGAAGTTGATGGCTCCATTCAGGAGCGCCAATATATCCATCAACTCCCCGAATAAGTGGTAGCATTGCACAAAAAAGGCTTTGCCTAAAATACCACTGAGTAGGCCGAGGATGCCCTGAGGGATTTCGGTAATCAAGAACAAGAGAAGCACTGCAACCAACATTTTTGTGGTGCGATCTGTTCTCTTGTCAGATTTCGTGTTGCGCCTATGGAAAGGAAAAATTGACGATTTTTTTAAAATATATGATTTATGTAGACTAAGTAGATATTTTAATAATAATTGCAATTATTAACTTCCCCAAGGGGAAGTTTATGTTTTCATCAAAAAATTCGATTCGCTAATTTTATGTTTTCTCGATGTTTTATGTTTTCTCGAAATTTGGAAAAAGTATGTGTGTGTATGTGTGCGTGTGCATCAACAGATTTTTTGCCGTAAATCGCCGTTTTTTCAAAAATGGCTGGATCGATTTCAAAAATTTAAAAGCCATTTGATGTATCTCGATGAGGACTATCGTTTGTCAGTTTTGTGCGACGATCGGCCGAGACTTCTCTTTATAAATAGCAGAAAAGTAAAAAAATTTTCGTCCACGTTTTAGCCCGCAATTCTGAATCGATTATGAAAATTCAAAAACCATTTGAAAGATTGGTTGGGAATCGTGCTGATTAGTTTTTGGTAGAGTGTTAAAAAAAAAAAATTCGCCGATTTTTAATATTTTTTTTTACGGTAGATACCATTATAGTCTTCTAAAATATTACGGCTCTACGACAATTGGTTTAACTTTAAAAATTCGTCAAAGTTTGCAAAAATTGGTATCGTTTTTTTGGCATTTGTCAAAATCAGACCTTTTATCGACGTTTTCTCAAAAACGCCTGAACCGATTTCAGAAATTTAAAAGCCATTTGATATATCTCAACGTCCTCGTTGTCAGTTTTGTGCGACGATCTGCTAAGCCGCTTCTTAATAATTTAAAAAAAGTGTTAAACTTTTCGTCCACATTTAAGCTCATACTACCGAATCGATTTTAAAATATCAAAAACTGTTCGAAAGATATTAGTTGGGAATGATGCTGATTAGTTTTGGGTGAAAATCAACCGAGCCGTTTTCTTGTAATTAACTATTGAAAAAAAAACTGAAGCCTATTTTATGGAACTTTTCTTAGCGATATATATCATGGTCTTATAGAACTTACTGTAATATCACGACCTTACGCCAAGTAGTTTAATTTTAAAAATTTATCATAGTTTGAGAAAATGAGTAGTTTTTCTGACGTTAGCTAAAATTAAAATTAGATTTACTTGATATAACGATAGAGTACTTGGTCTTAACGAACATTTGCTTTTAAAAAATACTACGTGTTAATGTGGTGGCTTGGCTGGGATATATATGCATATAAAAATGTCACCATGTCGATGGTTGATAAATAAATTTTGTTATTCCTATACTTTAAATAACATTTATTAATTAAGATATAAACTATTATAAACAGAACTGCATAAACTTAATGAAGATAACTCAACCGACCTCACAATTTTATAATTAATGTGTGAGCGATTTCAAAATAAATTTAGTCGTTCTTGTGTTTCAATAATCAATCGATAGAAAGCAATTCATATAATTAAAATAGGAAAGTTTATTAAAAACAATTCCAGCAAAGATGAAAATATATAAATAGGATAGTGGAAAAACCTTTTAGATGACGTTTTTGTTCAAAAGCAAATATTTTTCCTATTTATAGGTAAAATTGATATTTGACCCCAACGCATAATTCATTAATAGTACGAGAGTGGGAAAAAAATTCCAACTTGAAATAAATAGCATTCAAAAAATAAAAGAAAGTTGCATTGGCAAAAACAATTTGGGTATACAATTAATAAAACTTTGATTTCTTTTTGAGCTCATATCTTGAAATACTACATTTCTGCAATACTAATAACAATTTTATAAGAATTATTCAATAAAACAAATTATAACGAGTTATATATCATAAAATATATATAAGTCAAATATATAATATTATGATGTACTTTATGCTTTAGTAATAATTTATATGTGTTTGTATGCATATTTTTAATGTCATCTGATAAGAAATTTATATAAACTTATATACCGCAGGCCATTGTACAACTTTATTTTTTCATAAATATAGCGAAATTTTAATTTTATTATTATTATATTAAAAATATTAATATTAAAAAAATTAATATTATAATTTCATACTTTCAATGTTTTCTAAGGGCACCTCTGATAAATATAATTAATATTCATAAATATTTCGAAGAAAAAGGTATAAACACAGTAAATGTTCAGAATGTAAAACAAATGTAATGTGTATAGTAAATATCTCGAGCCATAGTTCTAATATTATAATAATACCTATAGCTAGAGAGATTGAACTGAAATATCATCTCCACATTTCCCAAAATATTACTGATAATTTCTTTATCTCACCTTACTGAATTATAGCCGCTCATCAATCGCCTCTTATTCCTATTAGCGCTATAAAGTGCCCGTATCAGCCAGCAGGAAATCACTGTAAGAACGATGCACGGAAGCAGCTTGATGACCACACCGTGGAACCAGAAATTGGCTATGTAAGGAGTCCTGTCTAGATCGGAAATTGTGTGCACATGGTAAAGAACATGCTGAGTGCTGTTTTCATACACTTTAACCTCGTTTATATTGAAAACGAGGTAAGTTGGCGCACATAGAATTGGAGGTAAGAAAAAGCTCAGTAAAATTGCACAACTGCAACGCCTTTCCGTGCACAGAGTGCCGTTCAAATGAGGATATCTGAATAAGAAATATATTTCAATAAAACTAATCAATATCATGTAACAAATATCTTACCTTATAGCTATGTATCTCCAAATTGCCAAACTTAACGTTAAACATATAGAAACCGTGTGCATTACTTGAGCAAAATGAGCATGCCATAATAGATATGCAGCCCAAGAATATGGAAATTCATGCCTGTCTGATCTTCGTCGTATCTACAATAGAAACAGTAGCCACATTAAAATAGTTAAATAAATAATTTTATCATTTTTTTAAAAATATTTTAATATTTCGACTATCAAACATGTGTTAAAATTTTGCGATATTCGATTCTAGTTCTTAATTTATAAATCAGTCTTATTTTACTAATTTGTAACAAATTTTGTTGGCTATATATAGGCCTATATTATTAATTAATTGTTCAATTATCTATCTTATTTATTCAGTTCTGCATAAATAACTTTAATAAGGCAACGCTAAAAATTAAAATTGATATAAAATATACTGAACTTAATACATTAACTTTGATTTATTAGTATTTTGGAAAAGTTTTCAAATAATTTTAATAATGTAATATTAAAAATTAAAATTTATGTATAAGATGCTACACGTGATACTTCATTTTGGATTCATTATTAGTTTTGAAAAGTTTTTTATTGTAAACTTAAGCAATTGCAATATTACTTTCTATAGAAAGTTACATAAAGCAACTTTGTAATAAGAAAACTTTGTAATAATTATAGTGAATTAATAAAATCACTTTATTACTTATTGTTAAAAATGTATTAGAAAATTCGTTATTAATAATAGTTCTGCACGTGAAACATATTCAGATATATGTATTTTATTAATATGTTATTACATCAAATATTTTATATCAAAATTGAAGAAAAGAGTGTCCTGATTTTTAAATTCAAAATAAAGTATCAAGTTTAGCATCTTATACATAAATTTAAATTTTTAATTCAAAACTATAGTTTTGAAAAGTTCTTCATTATAAACTTAAGCAATTGCAATATTACTTTCTATAGAAACTTACATAAAACAACTTTTTAATAAGTCAACTTTGAGATAATTATAGTAAATTAATAAAAATACTTTATTACTTTTTGTTCGAAATGTATTAAAAAACTAAGTTATTAATAATAATTCTGCACGTGAAACATATTCAATTATATGTATTTTATAAATATGTTAATACATCAAATATTTTATATCAAAATTGAAGAAAAGAGTGTCCTGATTTTAATAAATAAACTGCATAAATGCTGCTGCATAAATGATTTTAATAATACGTTAGAAATTAAAATTGATATAAAATATACTGAACTTAATACATTAACTTTGATTTATTAGTAGTTTGGAAAAGTTTTCATATGATTTTAGTAATGTAATATTAAAAATTAAAATTCATGAATAAGATGCTAAACTTGATACTTTATTTTGAATTTAATATTAAAATAATAAATTCAAAATAAAGTATCAAGTTTAGCATCTTATACATAAATTTTAATTTTTAATTCAAAACTATAGTTTTGAAAAGTTCTTCATTATAAACTTAAGCAATTGCAATATTACTTTCTATAGAAACTTACATAAAACAACTTTTTAATAAGTCAACTTTGAGATAATTATTTATTATTACTTTTTGTTCAAAATGTATTGAAAAACTAAGTTATTAATAATAATTCTGCACGTGAAACATATTCAATTATATGTAGTATATAAATATGTTATTACATCAAATATTTTGTATCTAAATTGAAGAAAAGAGTGCCTTGATATTGATAAATAAACTGATTTAGAACATCTTCAAAATATTGAAATTGTTTTATAAAAATATAAATTTTGCTTACCAAATAATTGTAAGTAGCAAAGGGTACATATTCGGCCATAACTAGTAAATCAGTGGCTGCCAACCATTTCAAAATTCGGTTAATAGGGGCACTAGACATATCTCGTCTCGTCAACACAGCTATATTTAATAAATTTGCTATACATCCAAAAATACAAACCTAAAAATAAAAATCACATAATTTAATTTAATTTCAAATTTAATTTAATTTTTAATCAAAATTTAAATTTAAACCTCACCATAAGGCTGATATATCCATGAATACCATTATACCCTTCTATCACAGATCGTACAGGGCCGCAACAGTAATCGCATTCGTTAATTATTACTTCTTGCATCGGGTCTGGCCTACCATAAGCAAGACCACTGTGTAAGGTCATGTTTATGCTGGATTTCAGCTCTGTTAATTCTTCCAGGAGAGATTGATACCTGAAAAATATAAGTAATGAATAAAATAAGTTTATAGAATAATTAATAGTGTAAAGTTTATTATAAAATTTAAAAACAAGTTTTTAAAAATCTTAAAATGATAAAAGTTCTTTGTTACTAAAATAAAAATAAAAATAATTAATAAATGAAGAAGTAAAAATACACAGAATATTTCATTAGCTAAGTACTTGAAGTAGTACAATAATTAGTTAAAATCCAAATCTTCGACTTTTGCATTTAAGTTTATTATTATGAATCATTAAAATCACCAAAAATATCTGTAACCTTTCACATTAATTTTCGCCTACATAGTATTCTAAAAATATCACCTTCTTGGGTTTCAATAATTGATTGATAGAAAGCAATTCATATAATTAAAATAAGAAAGTTTATTGAAAGTAGTTTAAGCAAAGATGAAAATATATAAATAGAATAAAGGAAAAACCTTTTAGATGACGTTTTTGTTCAAAAACAAATATCTTCCCTATTTATAGATAAAATTGTTCTGTAAGTAAATAGATATTACGAGTAGTACAAGGGTGAGAAAAAACTTACAACTTGAAATAAATGGTATTTAAAAAAATAAAAAGAGGTTGCATAGGCAAAAAAATAATAAAATAGTTTTTTTTTAATTATAAACGAGTCAAAGTAAATATATTATAATGTACTTTATGCCTAATTTAGTAACAATTTTTACATTATAAAAAAGCCACACACTGGATTCTACAGCTTCAAAAAGATTTCAAATTTTCAAAGAAATATATGTAGGAAGTTAATTCGTTTCACCAGTATGTTTATGCTTCGTCAGATTTAATACGAATATTTACATTTTTTACGTTTTTTATACTCATGTCCACTGACCTATGTAATTGTATCATAAATGCGAACACTTTTCCACAGAAAGCTCATGTTATTCCTAATTTAAAAAATAACTTTTTATTTTTATTTATAAAATATTTTGAACGGAACATTTTTCAGATCAATCAGTAATTAAAGTATTTTAATAGCTCATGTTTTGCATAGTTTTTCAACTTTTCTGATATTGAAAAATATTCAAAGGGTGATTATGATAAACTTTTCAAAGTTCAGAAATGCGAAGTTGTTTAATCAGGCCGGTGGAGGTAAATGTGTATTGTGTAATTAATACATTTAATTAGAAGGTCAATGAGAAATATAATATTGATCAAATATTAAATATAGAAATGATATGTTTACAAAATAAAAAAAGATAATAAATTAAAAAAAGCATAAAAATCATTTATTTGTATTTAATTTAAAATGTAATCTGATTGTTGGAACAAGCTGTGAATAATAAAAAAATAATATATTACACAATATAAATATATATTGTTATAAAATAAATGTTAAGTTTTAAAGATAAGTTTTTTCTAAATACATTGGGATTAAAAGACTAAAGAAAATTCAATATCATTTTTAAATCTTCACAAATAGAAGTCTAATAAAATAATAATAGTAAATATAATAAAATTTGTTTCAGAAATTATGTGAATTATAATATATACTAATGGTGCATAGCAAATTGCTGGAACTTCCCGCACCTAAAATAAAATATCTTAGAGCCTTAAATTTTTTGAAAACTTTGAAAAAATTGAATTTTTGAGGGTTGCTTAATTTTACCCAAAAATGCAATCAGTTGTTCATTTTGTCAATACAAGTAAAATGTTTTTTGAATTGCTTATCGGACGCTCCGTACTCTCAAAAACTGAATTACCATTTTTGGCATTTTTTGTCTCGCATCTTGGAATCGGTTGCATACTAATCAGCAAGTCTCCTTATCAATAGGAATTGAATGTTTTTTGAATCACTTAAATCTGTTGAACCGAGTTCCCGGAATCGTCGGCGAAAATCTGCATCCGAACACACACTCACATACATCAATTTTTTCTAAGGTATGCCAAAATGTTCAGAAGCCTTTGAAACGTGAAGATATACAAAAAATTACATTTTCGATTGTTTTGCGATTACTATAACTTACCCTACGGATAATAATAATATTTTACATATTATACAATAACTACAAATCAGTGGAAAATATATGACTTAGTTTAAACTAACAATAAGTTATGAAAATTATCACAAAAATGGAGCTGAACTCAACATTCTTCATATTTCATTCAAGTGTCAATAAACTTCAAAATTCAGTATAATTTAAATAAATCTCTATTAATTTTTTGAATAATAAGCTTATAGCAACTCTTAAATTAATTAAGTTATTAAAATTAAAAATATCTACTCCTCACCTTTGTTCCGTCAAGTTATATACATCTCCAAAAGTTTCATTAAAGAAAGCCAGGCGAGATATTTGAGCAATTATCTCAGCTCGTTTTTCTTCACTGATGTCAGCCATTTTCTTAGTTAATTATTTAGAAACTTTATTTAAAACAATTTATTAAATAATACTTTGTGCATGCTAAAATAATTTCACTGAACCATTTTTTGTTCACATTATTCACCCATTTATTTAATCATACAAAATGGAAGAAGTTTTATTTGTGATACACAAAGAGCAAAATAAACAATTTTAAGTTAATAGTTGTTTAAAAAGATTTTATCACTAGCGTTTTAATGAGTTTTGTTAACTATATTTGTTGAACTTTTCGAATAAGAGGTGCACTAACATGAACAACAATTTCTAAATAATTTAACGGTTTAGAATATAATTAATTTCCACAAAACAAGTGTTTAAAACCATCTTCCTCCTCTGCATGATCACTTTCGACGAAAACTACGTGTCCAGGTAATACCATTCCTGGTTCCCTTCGATGTTGGTACACGTGGCGAACGGTTTGAAGTCTTTAATTCGAATGATCTCCAGTGATGTGCTCGTCCTCAGAGTCAATCTTTTTCCATTGTCCTTATTCATTCCTGCACGGTGTGGCGTCTCTGTTTGTTTTTATTATACACGTCACGTATTTCATAAAGTATTTTTTTATTTCAGTGCTCACAAACATGACCGACACCTCACTTCCGTCTGTCTCCCTGGAAATAAACATAAAAAAGAGTAAGTTTTATGGAGGTGCCAGATATGGAAATTCAGTAAAATAATTGTTAAGCAAAAATTTTATTTCAGCCGAAATAAATGGATTTTCACCAGGATCATTGTCTTAATATGATTCATACTATTAATAATATATTTTGGACTAAAAAATGCTGTAATGGCAAATGGTAAAGATGGTGCTACAATAAAGTTCAATGTTAAAAGTTCAGTTTCACCCAAAATTGATGGATTTTCACCGCAATCAATGTCTTAGCATGATTCATTCTAACATTATTCATTAACAATATATTTTATTTTGAAAATCCTTCAAAGGTAAAAGTTTAGATATGGTGTTTTTTCAATGCAATTTTAATGAAGTTCAACACACAAATTCAAAATAACAAAACATATGTAATGGTAATTTAAAATTTGAATTTTGTTGTAATGAAAGCAATGTCATAATTAATTGTATTTGAAAATATAAATTTTATTGAACTAACACTTGATGGAAAGCATTTTCTATGGCAGTTTTTAGTACCAAGAAAGATTGCCATAACAACGAGATGTAATCGTCTATTTTACCGGAGAATTGGGCTTATAAAAGTAACGCACCTCCTCAAAATTTGGTCTGAGCTATAAATTATTAATGTTTGTTTTTTATTGACATATATTTTAAAAACATAGCAACCAACTTGTTTTTGAGATATCGGTGGTGGACCTTTTTACCCGCGGACCTTCAAACCCAAATCTATCCTATAATAAAAATATCCAATAGAAAAATAATCTGAAAAACTAAACCATATTTTTACTGTTTTCAGTAATAAAAAATCCAGATATTTCATGCCAGATTGTAGTATTTTTCATTACTGAATGCCAAAAATTCCATATCTGGTCTTCAGTAATAAAAAACACTACAATCCTATACTATCATTAATATTGTTGTTAAAACAGTGTATTGTTTCAATGATGAATTTTGAATCAAAATTATTGAAGACCGGGAATTATGCAATATCAGTAACATTTATCTTTGTGCCACAGTAGATTGAAATAGAATAACATGTTTTATAGAAATATCTGCAGATAGGATTTGCAACTATGTATATCCCTAAGTAATAAAAAATTCATAATTTTTATGAGAGCACGTGCTGTAGATTTTAAAGGCATTAAAATTGCAGAATGAAAAAGCTATGCTCCCTAAAGGCAAAATGCACTAATGGTAAAGTAAGTTCTTATGAAAAAGATAACATTGAGGTGACATTAACAACGCAAATACGACAATTCATTACATAGTTTATGTAATTAAGAATTAAGGATATTCATTTTTATTATAATTTATATGAAAAATAATACATTTCAAGATTATACTTTGAAGAATGCCTCATAAAAGATCAAATTCAATTTAAACAATTTGATTTCAGATAACTGATGAAAATGTTTTTCATTCTCAACTCAACTTATTTATATTGATGCTAAATTAAGTTAAGAAATACTGCAAACTATTATAGTCTATAAAATTGCATAATTAATGTAAAAGAAATATAAAAATAACATTGCTAATGTAATTTTGTAAAGGTCGATTGCTATATGATTTCATCAATCATCTTCATATTTATGATGATATATAATGAACATGTAAGGTTGGTTGTCGATAAATAGAATTCTAATCGCATGCCTTGATATATATATATATATATATATATATATATATATATATTAAAATAATTGAAGTGATTATGTTAACCTTTCATGAATTTATTGGTTTGAATCTATAAATTTGGAAATAATAAGAAATTGTTTAAGGATGAATTGTTTAAGGTGCTTAGTTTTGGTATATGATTATTAAAATAAAGTTTGTAAAGTAATATTATATCAAATAATAATTACAAATATTAAGTTTGTCTCGTAATATAAATCTTGACTTTAATTTACACGAACTTTCAGTAGAACAATAATGGAATCTTAAATAATTATTTTGCAAATAAATACACTTTTTGTCCCATGAACCAAATCTCTCACGTGTTATGATAATATTCATTTATATCACCTTGTATAACAAGAATAAACAAACTAACTAACATACTTCTAACCATAATTTAATACTTACAAAACCAAATAATGCTCAACATACTTGTTGGAAGTTCATCAAATCATATAAAGAGCTTTTTATATATAAATTTATATAAACTAGAATAGATTTGTAGGAAGCAATATATTACTAAACATTTCATTTGTATTTGCAACAGTTTTCGTCACTTAGGCAATTTGATAAGGAATGAAGAATATTATCCAGAGATGTATTAAATTGTTATTGTTCACATAATTATAGAAATCATTCAGCCAATCAATACATAAAGTATAAAATACTAAACAAAACAGTATAATAGATGTAAAGATTTTAATTCAAAGATCCACAAGCTCTATGGCCCACAAGTCCATAGAGCTTGTGGATCTTTTACTTGAGCGAACAATTTTCCAACCTTTAAATTATGTCTAAATTATTTTCTTTCGTAAATACAAAATAAATTAACTAATTATTTCTTGCAGAAAAGAAGAACATAATGAAAAACAATTTTAAGATTTTAAAGTTTTGACTAAATTAAGCCAAAGATTATTATTATTATATTATATTATCTGCATGTCCCATTTAGAGTGGGAAAATGATTCGGTCTTCGCCTTTATTAGATTATGTCTTTTACTGAATCATAGATAAATTAATAAAAATATATATTTAAATCAAACAAAATGTTATATTTTTGCAATTCTAAATAAATTCAAAAATAATACTCATAAAACCTTATCTCAATAGCAAAAAAATATTATTAATTGCGTAACATCATTATTATATCGGCGCCTATTTTACATAAGAATAATCGCTTTACGTGCTTAAAGCGCTAATTAGAAATCGGATTATTGGATTTGTGTTGTTCGAAATTAAGTGCAATCGTAGCTTCTATAAACGTATCATGAATATAAATAACTTCATTATATATAACTTCATATTTCATTAAAATGTTTAAACGATGATCATAAGTGCTCAACTCTCCAGAACTATAAATGATGCAAAATAAAGAGATGAAATTAATATTGGTACTTATTCATATTTAGAAAAGATATTAATTTATTAACTTCCCGAAAAGAAAAGTTCTCCAGAAAATTCCATCTGCTAATTTTATATTTTCAAGTTATTCTGGAATTTGACCTTCGATGAAGATTTCTCAAAAACTGCTGCACCAATTTGGAAATTTTAAAAGCAATTGTGTGAAACTCAATGAGCTCTATCGAATTAGCAAAAAATTGCAAAAATTTTCATCAAAGTTTTAATTTAATTTAAATAAAACTTTGTATGAAGATAATTTTATAATGTAATATGATGAAATTTCGTAGATTATTTATACAAATTCATTAATATTTGGGAAAACGAATCGCAGTTTAAAACATGCACTGTGTATATATCCTGAGTTTTTGTGGAAATAAATAGCCCTGTGTTCATGAAGACATATATGTAATAATTATACATATATATAATATTAAATATTATAAAAATATTAAAATGCCATCTACACCTAGTTATTATTTAAATTGCATTACCAAAAAATCGTGATTTGAGCTTTTTATTACAAAAAGATTATTGTAATAAGAATTATGATTTATGTTAACTAATGTTGTGGAACGATTTTACGTTAAGATGCCCCATAAATCATATAATAATCTTAAACCTTAATCATTATTTTTACAGCAAAGAGTTTCGATGCCTATTTTCTTATAATAATACCATTTTATTTTATCGATCACAGAAAAAATTATTACCAATAATTTTAATCTCACAGATCATTTTTTATTAAAAATCCAAATATGCCCATGAAATCGACTCTGTTTACACATTCAGAAGGGAATATTATTTAGTCGTACAATCCCGGGAGCAATTTAACCATTAAGTTTTCCATAGAACATCTTGATTTACATACAATGCATCTATTAAACTCGATGAGATGGGCAATGGATTCAAATAAGAAGTCTTTATTACTGCTTTGCATCGTTATGCGAATCCTTTATAAGCAGCACGTAATGATTATGGCTGTGATCATTTTGTTTAATGATGCGAGATGTCTAATAACTTGTATTTATCGAAAAAGTTAATATTCAAAAATCATAATAATATATACATACAAGAATATGAGAGCATCAAATAATATGGAATGCAGTGCACTCGCGGGTTCTCGTATAAAAATTTGTTTGTTAGCCCTCAGGAGTAGATTTTTCAGTAATTAAAAATCTTAAAAATAATTTAATGGTTATACATAACTGTTGATGACTTTAGATCATCAATAGCTAATAATGAAAGGAAAAAATCAGAAGAACTTGAACGCACCGGAAGCCCCATCAGTCTTTTAAAAATTGAAATAAAAAAAAAGCCGATTAAAATTTCTTACCGCTTCTAATATAAAAAATAATCAAAACAAATTAATGTAGGTTCATATTCTTTATTCTATAGATACATAGGTATGGCCAACAGAATATTGACTCTTTATAATAATTGTTAGAATGATTTTTGGAACAATACATGCGACGTCTAAACATTATGACTATTAAAATTTTCTTTGATGTGGCAAATAAAACTTTTAAATTAAAATTGAAAAAATACAAGTTCCAAATTTACAATAACACATCAAGCGACATGATTCACACAAAGGCATTAAGGCATCAAGCAATTAAAAGATGAACTATTCCAAGAGTACTTGACGAAGTAATATTATGTATAAATTATAATATTCTTGAAATAAATTGAAGAATTTCAAAAATTCAATTAGAAAATCACAAATAAGATCTAACAATGACTTGTACTAAATGATGTTGCCATAATTAAATTCATTTAAATCAAATGGCAAAACAACAACAAAATTAAGCAACACTGGGTTATTAACAAATTCAATGAGATCATTGTTACAAGAGTCAAAGCCATACTAATGAGACAAATTAGGACAATAAATTGTTAATTACAATGTATTAGATACAAACAACAATTTATTACATAGTCAAAAATAAACAAAAATTGCAAATAATCTTTTTTTTTTTTAATAAGACTTGTGCCACTTATATGAGAATCCACTTACTTTTGAATGATCTTTATGCAAACACTTGATATAAAACGCAAAACACTTTAAATTATGATTATTTAGAAGTCTAGAAATTAATAAAATCATAACATTTAACTTATCTATCATACTTATTTCTTATATATATATATACTTTTAATGATTTATCATAATTTGTCCTTCCGCTTAAAATCTACTAGGTGAAATAAAATTCATATTTCTATACACTAAAGTTGTAGACATGATATATTTACAATTTATTTTAAATATAAAATTAATTTCATTAATTAGTATATAAAGTGTAATTTAATTTGGAATAATATAATTTTTGATATTTTTACATCCATGTTACATAGTTAGGACTCGTTATCAGGTTAGCGCCGATATATTCTATTAAATATTAAATATAATTTATTTATTTATCAATCATTAATTATTTTAAAAACTAGAATTTTCTGTTTAGTAATCTATGTGCTTTCTAGAGAATATAGATCTACTAAATATCTTATTTTATAGCATACATACATTATGATATTATGAAAAATGACCGGAAGCATCTCTGACACAAATATTAACATTATTATTTTTAGCCAATTTTGTTTTAGATTTATAGAATTAATAAAAGTACAAAATATATGTGCATTCCATAAATAGAAAGAGAACTTATGAAGGATTTGTCTACAAAGTCATTTCATACAAATTTTGTACAGAAAAATTATATTTGCATATACAACTGTAAAATGCTCTTTCAAAATGTTTTAAGCAGTGACTCGAGGAATTCACCTTTTTTTTTTTACTTAAATTGACAAAATGATCAAACATTTGTCAATATTTTAAGTGCAAACTCACGTGTAGCTTCAAGTTAACCAAAATAAATATAACATCCAATAAATATTATATCTCCATATAAAATTTGTATCAGGACTTAACAAATTGTTTATAAGTTCTCAATGTAAACAATAAAGATGTGATGCACAACTTTCAAATAAGTTCTGATTGATTTAGTTTGTACATAGATTTCTAATAAGATTTGAAAGAATATTTTAATGTTTTATAAATATATAAGATATCATATTTAAATTTATTATATTGCCAAATACATAAATATAAAAGCGTGCAGACTCAAATTTGTTAAAATAATTTAAAATCAATCTACAACTCACAAATAAAGTAAAAATATTTTGTTAAACTCATTTTTTAATTGTGTAAATCACATGAATAATTGAATCACTATTTATTTCCAATAGTCAGTGGTGATTCACCAAGTAAATGAAAATAATTTTTAATCTGAATATGAATCAGACCAGTATGTAGAAGTGATAGGTGCTATGCTTTTGAATAAATCCTTTGTAGAAGGTATTTTCTTTTCTTTACCTTCCTTTGATGTCTGAGATAATTCTTCATCTTCCTTTTCATGTTTCAACACATGTTTGTCAAGCTTTAGTTTGGTAGGAAATTCTTTATTGCAAATTGCGCATTCAAAATGTTTTACATCGCTATGATCTGTTTTAATGTGCCTATTGAGATCAGACTTTGAAGCACAAATTTTTTGGCAATGATCACATTGCAAAGACTTATCTTCAGCATGCCTCCTGATATGAGACTCCAAGGACACAGTTTGTTTGAATGGTTTTTGACAAATGTGGCAAACAAAAGGTTTTTCTCCAACATGTGTCCGTTTATGTTCTTTAAGCTTCATAGCTGATTTGCATACTACTTCACAATATGGGCATTTGTGATGTTTATTTCGCTCTCGTGGAGTGCGCTCTTTCTCCTTTTCCTCTTCAGCACCAGAATCTGTTTTGCTTATAGACTTTTTATAACTTTTCCTTGGTAATATAGGATAATCCTCATCCATATCTTCAGCATGATAGTCTAATGTATGTTGCTTATATTCTTCCTGTGTAGTAAATTTAGCTGTGCAGTATTTACATTTAATTATTGGGTCTTTATCCTGGTGTGTTAACATATGTTGTTTCAAGAAACTGAGATAGGGAAATGTCTTATTGCAAATAGTGCAAGCGTGCTTTGAAGCTTTATCTTCAGGTTGTTTAACTTTCTTGATAGTTATCAAAGGTTTATCATCATCAGGATCAACGACATATTTTGTACTTTACGGGACACCTCTGGGGTGGATGTAATAGGAGAATCTTTCCATTCTTTTGAACGTCTCTCACGTTTGGGCAATTGACGCTTTGAAGCCTAAAATTACAAATATACATATAAAAATATAACAAGCGATAAAATAAACCTAAAAGAAACAAAAGAATCTTGACCTAAAGACGTTTTCCTATGGCTAACAATATAATAAGTGATATGATTACAAAATATAGTAATATCACTGAGTAAACGAAATTTGAATTCAAATACTCCAAAACAATTTGAACATAACTGAACATGATTACATAATACATACCGATCGTGTCCTTCTCTTGGATTTTCTTTTCGACTTTGGTTTGTTTACTCCATATGATGAATCACTCCCACTATCCTCTTGAGAATCACTCAAAAAATCAATATCGCTTTCTTCTTTATATCTCCGCTTTGCTCTTGGCTTCTCACTCATCGCTTACCTCAGATCATAATCTTGGTCATCACATTCAATCAGAACAAACTCAGTCTTCACTACAGTTTTCGGAACAGCTATGTTGAGTCTTTTTCTTAACTCAACATCTG